GGGTGGTAGCTACCTTCAAAGTTCAGCTGTTGAGTCCTCTCCCTGTGTGGACAACAACCAGGGAAAGGGAAGGGAAAACCCAATGAACATGAAGAGATTATTTTCTGGTCTGGAGAGGAAAACTTGTCATGGCTGGGACCTGTTCTGAAAGTGGTTTTGATTTCAACGTGAAATTTTACAATTTGGGAAAAAGAGGAAGCTTCATCCCATCCAACTTCTCATGTAAGAATATTCTATGTTCTCAAACTGCAATTGTTCAGACAAGTACAATTCCTGTTGTCAGTTAGTTGGGTTTTAGACTCAAATTCTAGATAGGCATCATTTGAAAATGAAACTTGGCATATCTCAGGGTAGACTGATGTTTTTTCTTGCTTTTGATTGAGTAACTCAGATAAAAACTAGAAGATAAGTGGTGCTAAAATATTTTAGAAGTCAGCTGCTTCTCAGCCTTAGAGGGACTCAACAGAAGGGTGGTAGGTATTTCTAGGCCCACTACATGCATCCTAATTCACCACTGGGCTTCTTGGATGCTTTGCCTGGCTTTCCTCTTCTTTTTTCAGACAAGAAGCCCCTCATGGTCCATAAGAAAGTAGAAGCAAGCACAGAAGCTTTAGTTAGCAAGGGATCTGATTGCCCCTCTTTGGTAGTTCAGACTACCTGGGCTTCAAAAAAAAAAGGCAGAAAATGCACAGCAATAAATACCTTCAACCCTAAGTTCCGTCTTGTAGAAGACAGATTTTCGAGTCTGACATATTACGAACTCTCCAAGTCCCACCCTCTCTTGTGGGAATTATGGGTACTGAATGGATTCTTCTTTTTGCTCTTTCCTCAGGTTGCACATCTTCTGCCCTATGCTAGTGGCGTACAAGGGAGCTGCAAACAGTACAGTTTTGATGGCATACTTTGTGCACTCTGTCTCTCTTAATATGTTGTCCTTTATCTTGGTTTCAGCTGAACAACTTGTATTTCTTTTAACAAAATTGGATTTTTATTTTCCTCTCCTGGAAGAGTGGGATAAACTGCTTTCTTACCAACAATGCCCCAGCCTGCTGATTTCTGCTTCATTGGGCCCTTATTTACCACCTCAGGCTGCCTCTCTAGTTCCTGAAAAGATCTTTTTTTTTTTTTTTTTTTTTTTTGAAAAGCACCTGTTCTTCAGCCATGGTTGCAGGCATGGTGGATTTATCTCAGATTTGTGGTGCATTTAAGCTACTGGACTTTTCTTTCAGTCAGCCAAGCTCCCTTGGCAGTGCTGGTCTGTGAGAAACAGAAAAACAAGTTGTTGTACGAGTGCACTCTAGGTAGAAGATAAAATATTCTCAGCCTGGGCAGAGAATCTCTTGTGTGTCTCTGCCAGGTCATGTATAGAAACTAAGTTATCTAGTTAAGGAGTCAAGCAGTGTCCTACTGGGGTTGTAGCTGTTAAGCAGGACAAGGATTAAATCACAAAAATGTGGGGGTTAAAAGAGCTTAGGATATCTAGTACAACTCTCTGCATGGAAACCTGATCTGCCAAATTCTGTCTCGTCCCTGGTAGTGGGAGAAGCAGACATTCAGGCTGAAGAAAGGTGAGGGCTAGTCTAGCACAGCAGCTCGTGGGAAGTACTAAGGATGAAAGTGATCCTGGGGGGCTTGTTAACTGCTGGATATCCATTAAAACAGAAAGGTCAATCCTATTTTGCTCATCTCATTGTGGATTGCTGTAAGCAGTAGACCAAGCCTGCTTTCATTGGCTTTCCAGAGAGCACAGCGTCAAACCGAAAATCTCCCTTCTCCTCTTCAGTGTTTCCAATGATAATGGTCTTCAATACATGCATGGGCATTTCATGCTCTGGAGCAGTAACACTGGAATATGCTCTGCTCTTGGATGTGACAGAGTAGTCCAACAGAGAGGTGCAACTTCAGGAACGTGTTAAAGGGGCAACAGAATCTGCACATTGCCTACGACCTATATGCAGCTGCTTCCAGATACAAGGTGCATTTCTTGGCTAACTTATTTATTGATTATGGCATATCAGTTACTTATCTTTGTTTTTCTAGAATTCTGCATTAACCCTCTCTTGGAAAAAGTCAGAATAGGACTAAATGTCTGTCAAGTCACTTTAAACTTTGGAATATGTTTAGGCATCATGATGATAGGAAACATCTAAAAGCTCAAGTGAATCAGAACAGGATCTTCCAAACTTTTCATGTTTGATTCCAAAACACCCTTATGGGAGAGAAGGCTGTGGGTGCTCCCTGTGTCTATGAGTGAGATTAGTAATGTTTGAAAATATCCGGTATATCTGCACACCCATATCTGGCCTTTGTGTAGTGCTCTCCCTTTTCATCAGCTGCAATAAGACAAAATATGCAAAGATGTTGTAGATTTCATTAGTCACACTAGTTTATTCAAACTTCTTCTTTGCATAAGAAACCAAGGCCTGCACTGATCTCTGGGAAAGAATGTGCTCCCAGCTTGGAAAAGCAGTGTGCGCAAATGGCACTGCGGCACAGCAGAGGTCAGCAGCTCGGGCACAGGAGAGGGGCCCGGCTCTAGGGTTTGGTGCCATCATTTGCAATTCAATCCCATACAGCTCCTTCTTAGGAGAACAATTCACTAAATACAGAGTTGTTCTTTTTCCCTAATTCACCATATAATTCACCTCCCAAGTTCAATTAAGAAGCAATCTGTTTGTGACTGGAAGCAAGCTGCATTTATTTAGAAATACAAAATTATCCTTTGCCTCAGCAAAGACTGCATGCCTTAATAATTCTGGTGATGAATGGCTAGTTGGGGTTTCCTTTAAATGGAATGGGATATTGTGTGAAGAATAGCATACTTCAGGGGGGCTGGGGGGGATGAGAAGTCCTGGGGATGTAAAATTTAACTGAGAAGAGGAACTTTTGTTGAGCTTGGGCTTAAGGAAGTGACGAGGTCTGGGCATGAAAGAAAACAAAGGGAAATCTTAGGATGGGACATTGAGGCTGGAAAGGAGCGATAGAGTTCAGAGCAATCCATCTTGTTGAATCAGGCTTGTTTCTGTTCACACATCTAGTGGCTTTTGTCCAGTCAAGCTCTGTTAAACTATGGCACTTCCTTTGGGAGACAATCCCCTGATTTACTATGTCTCTTGGACCAGGAAGCCCTAACCTATAGCCAGCTGACAGTCTGGGCATTTTATTTTATTCTGGCTCATTTTGTTGCTGTCTTTCATCATCACTTACATGATATTCTGATTAGTTATAATAGTTGGAGATTTGATCCTTTCAGTCCTTCTCCAAGGTGTCAGGCATGTACCTTTTACCTCTTGGAGTGGCTGGAGAAGGATTTGAAAGAAACCAGTTCCACAGCAAAGGGGAGTTTTCTAGCTGGCAAAGCAAGACTGGTTCAGTGCCTGGAATGTGTCCAGCTGTCTTGAAAGTGAGACATTTTGGAAGTGTCCACACCACATCCAGCAGTGCTGCACGACTATAACAGTGTCTTCCTTTCTGCATGTGGTGGTTTATCATGCTCTTCATGCTTTACCTTGCCACCAAGACTGCATAAACTTGCTTTTGCTAACACCTCTACAGAGATCAGCTCATTCGGCCTCCGTTCTGCTCAGAGGACCCACGATACCAAGATAGGGAAGGAGGAAGAGAGATAACAGCGGTCATATCAGCACCACCTTCTTAAGGCTGAAATGTAGTCAGTGCCAGTTTTATTTATCTGTTATACATCTTACTGTCTTGTGTGTTGTGCTCACTCACCCTAGGCACCATTTTTGAGTTTTCCTTTCTACTACAGTCACCATGGAGAGCTTCCCTGCCAAAGAGATTGTAGTTGGTTTTCCATGTTGGGTCTGTGGCTGTTCAGTGCCTTGCTGCCCAGGTTTCCTTTGAAACAGAAGTACGAACAAGTTATTATTTGTTCTACTCAGTTTCTGGAAGGGGGTGACATTTTAAATATTTTTCTGTGGCAGAATGGGTAGAATATTGAGGGAAGATCCTATTTTTACATCATAAAATCCAAAAAACCTAAAATCGAGTACCGGTCTATTGACAAGTACTGCAGTACCTTAGTGGTAAAAGACTGGTAGGGACTATAGACAGGGCACCCTGTCTCCCTTCCCTAGCAGTGTGATTTCACTGGTGGGGAGAGGGAGCAGCAGTGCCCTTTGGAAAAAAAAAAAAGAGAAGGTTAGGCACAGTGCTGGTACAAAGACACCATGGAACTGCTATGGCTTCTGCGCCCAATAGCTGTGACATTAAGCAGTCAAATCCCTCCCCCAGCTTGTTTGTGTCTTGTGCATCACAGTGACATCATGAGTTGGTTTTCCACAAGGATGTAGGAAAGCCAGGCAGGAAGGCACTCAGAGTGGGACAAACCAGTTTGGTTTTGGTGACTGAGCTGGAGGAAGCCATGTCCCTAGACAAGCTGGGGACCTCTGTGTGCCTGGCAGGGCTGTTCCAAAAGAGAGGGGTATTCAGTGCTGGATGAAGGACAATATCCAGGGACTAACGACGCAGTTCTTCCTGCTTTGGTAGCCAGTATGTATTAACATCACAGAGAAGGACTTTTATTTTCAGATTAAAATGAATTCAGGTAAGATGTATTGAGTTGATAAGAGTGTACTTGTATGAATGTAGATCATTATTTGCCTTGACAGTGTCTCTTTTTTAATTTGAGATTTAATAGTGGTAATTACTATTGCTACCATCCTTGTATAGTTCCTGTTCTCAGTAAATCTCCATGAAATTAGCCTTTCCTAGAAGAGACTTTCTACCTATTCAGCATATGCAGAAACTAAGGAATGGGATGGTAATGAGTTGCAAGGTGTCACTGCTGGCTAGGAACAAATCCAGGAAAAGGACAACCTTATCAGGCATTTAATCCCTGCTCTCTGTACAGGGAAAGCAGACAGTTTCTGTGGCCAGCAAACCCCCAAATGGCATCACTGATAGCTGCTGTCCTTTCCACATCAGAGCTTTGCCAGCCAACTCACCAGAGATGTCTCTGCTCTTTTTTTCCTTTGCAGGAGGCCTGGGAGAACAGTCTCTTGTGTCAAGTGAGAATGCCACTTCAACTGATCATAGTAACCAAGCAGTTAAAAAGGGTAATGTGGTACCCCACCCAGACCTTTGGGTATCTTTTATTTACTTTTTTACCCCCTGTAAAAACATACTTTATCCTGTTATGTACATGTGTGTGCCTCTGTGCCTGGAAGAACAGCCCTACTCAGGCATCTGCATTTGTTGCTGTTGGTGGACTCTGAAAGGGTGGGTTTGCTTTGTATAGCGTGGTGGGTTGACCCCAGCCAGAAGCCAAGCACCCAGTCACTGTTCCCCTCCTCCAGCAGGATAGGTGAGAGAGCAGGAAAAGCAAAAGTGAGAAAACCCATTGGCTGTGATAAAGACAGTTTATAAAGTGAATGAAAGAGAAAAAAATAACCAAACCAACAACTAATGCCCATCCACAAGCAGCTCCTGCTAGAAGGGCATGTCAGGCCTCTCCAGGGACCGCTGCAAATTAAAGTTGTTAAAGGCTGAAAATTTTAGCAGAAATTTGGAGCAGTCAAGAGCTCTAGCAGGATTGCTGCAAAGAATTTGCTCGAGAAGGTGTGTTACTGGCAAGGGATGGAAGTACTGATGATACAGAAGTGTGAACCCAGGGTCCTTTGTGTAGAGCTCCTGATGCACCAGGCACAGGAGAGCATGGGGCAGATAACTCCTTGCTTGGCTTTGCTGGCAGAAGCTGTCTGTGTGCAAATCCATTGAGATTTTGGGCAGCCCCAGGAGCAGTTTGTGAATGGAAGACAAGACTACTTCTGTCTTGAGATCCTCTCTCTTCTTCTGACTGTAGCTCTCATAATGCCAGTGCCTGTACTGGTGTCTGGTACCAGCAGTACCAGATGTATGCAAAGAAGGGGAAGGTAGTTCTTTTGCTGGGAGAACATTCAGCCTCAGAGCATCTGCCTTCCAGGATCCAGCAGCTGCCTTAGGGATGGGGCAGCTTCTGAAATGCCAGGTGCAGCTGGCATGCCAGGGAGGTGCTCAGGAGGAAGAGGAACAAAAAGCAAATTCCCGTCTTTGTCCTGCAGCTCCGAGCAAGGTCTTCAGCAGGAAGGGCTGGACCTGGTGAAGCAGGAGAGAGGGTTTAAAGTTCATTCTTTTCACCTCCCTACACTGTCTGAATTTCCTTCCCATTGTTTTGATCCCCTCAGCCTTGACAGTAGTGATTTGCTTACCGCTGCTTCAGCTGGAGGGATGAATGGGAGAAGAGGCTCTCAGCAGGCCCTCTAGTCACTAGAGGAAGGTCTTAGCAGGACTTGTGCTTTTTCATAATCCAGTAGCCCATGTCCCTTACTTTGGAGGCAAAGCTGTAACCGGTCTTGCTGATTTACATACAAATCACAAGACCACAGTAGGAGCTTAGATCTGCCCTCTTGGGCTTCAGAGAGGTCCACCAGCACTGGGGAGCCACCATCAGCAGTGCTGCTCCTCAAGGTGACAAGGAAGTTCACCTTGGTGTGACCCTTTAGGCCAGCACTCTCTGAAGGCATAGCAACCCCTGTACTCTGTTATTCCTTTGCCCACATCCAGCTAATGCATTGACTGTGCAATACAGGCAGCTCTTCTTAGAAGTGATGTGTCTACACAGTCCTTACACGTGTTAGTAAAGCCCAGCTGGACTATGGCTGCTTTGAGGTTTGAGTTTCCCATGGCATAAGCAAACGGGGGGAACAGCCAGGAAGCTTTGAGTAGAGGATATTTTCTCTGGGTCAGACACACATCACATTAAAGGTGCAACTCATGTAGGCATAACCACTATGTAAGCAGAGCTGCAGCAGCACAGATGCAGGGCAAGGTACAAGGTCTGCCTAGAAGCCTGTGTAAATCCTCTGGCAGGTTTTAAGGTGAGCACTGAGCACCACACAGCCAGGGCTCCTCTACCCTTTGTAAAAAGAAATGTGTTCTGCTTTCCCTTTTGTATTTTTGCTCCTTTTCATTACAATGAAGAGAATCAGCATGGATGGAGATTTGTGCCTCACCTTTTCCATCCTGAGCATCCCTCCTCCAGCAGAGACTGTCTGATCTTTGCAGATTTCCAAACCACCTGAGACCTGGTATGTGAAACCAAAGTAATACTTTGAGTACAGGTTTCAGTGTAAGAAGTCTGTTACATTCTTCCAAAGCCAACTCGAATGAGTAGTTCTGGCTGTTGTGAAGTCAACCCTAATAGAACAAATCTCTGCAGATCTGGGTGAGTAGGGCATGTTGAGAATGTACAGTGATGCCTGGACTTGTTTGATCCCTACCTCCTGTTCCCCTTGTTTAAGTACTGTGCCCCCATCTAAGAAGTTGCTGTTGCAGAGAGTGAGTGGCTTGGGACAAGGAAGGATGTCCTTTTACGCCTTTATGGGAGAACGGGTTTGGCATAGTGCATATGGAGGCTCAAAGACAAGAAGGGTCAGTTTTCTACAGATTAACTAAGTCCCAAAAAATCACTGGAAAATCTGGCTATCGCTTCTGGTTTGGTTTAACAGTTTGCTTTTTCTTTTTATCTTTTTTTCTGAAGCTCCAGGATACTGGTGGAACTAAAGAGAATTTAAATGGTGTTGCCACTCTGTCTTGCAGACAGCAAGCAGAACACAACGCTTGCAAGGAGACCGAAGAGGAAGGAATATGAAGATGAGTCTGGGATGGATACACACTCCTCTCCCAGAGTGCGCAGGGCAACCACATCCAGGGCTGAGAGAATCTGGCCAGGCGGGGTCATCCCTTATGTGATCGGGGGAAATTTCACTGGTCAGTAGTGAAAATATTGCTCCCTGTTTGCTCAGGGGTATGTTTCTCAAAACGTGTGAGAAATCTCTGGAGCAGCTTTCCCACAAATTACTTGGGTTCTTGGGAATCTCTCCCCTGAGGTAGGGTGGTTGCACAAGGAACTGTTGGAAAGGTTGACTGTTCCCATATCCAGATTGAAATCCATTAGAGATTTTCCTGAAAGCCAAGCCTTCACTGTTTGCTCTTCTTGATTTCTATTTCAGGAACCCAAAGAGCTATCTTTAAGCAAGCAATGAGGCACTGGGAGAAGCACACTTGTGTGACATTTGTGGAGAGAACTGACGAAGAGAGCTTCATTGTGTTCACGTACAGAACATGTGGGTAAGTGATACACGCATTCCCTGCAGCTGTCTGTATTGCAAACTGTGACAAATGGCTTTGACCAATGGCTACATTGGACAATACATCACAAAGATGCAGTTGGTCACTTTCAGTAAGGATAGCTAGGATTGTTTAGTATTTGCTCAGAAGGTGCTAAGCCTTTCTGGATTCTTTTTCCTGGGATAACGCTTAAGAGTGTATATGCATTTTTACAGATATACACTCTTTTCTTTATGTTTTCTTTATACATATATGTAAGTATGTGAGTATAGTGTATGCAACTGTGGGCCTGTCCTGAACCCTGCCAGATGCCACCCTGTGTTCCCGTGTTTCAGACTTCCTCAGTTCACTGATGTGATGCATGGGTTTGTGTGTTTTCTTTTTCAGATGTTGCTCATACGTGGGTCGACGAGGAGGGGGCCCTCAGGCTATATCCATTGGAAAGAACTGTGACAAGTTTGGCATTGTGGCTCATGAGCTGGGTCATGTGGTAGGTTTCTGGCATGAACACACACGACCTGACAGGGACCAGCATGTCACGATCATCAGAGAGAACATACAGCAAGGTAAAATTGCACTTTGGATTATTCCACCTGGCTTTTGGGTGGGTAGAAACCTTTCTTACTAGACCAGGGTGGAAAACCCTGGTGGTCTGTGAGCTGGGATGGAGAAAAATAAATATTGCTAGTCCTTGTCTAGAATAAGCATGAAAATAGCTCAATGACTAGACATTTTGGACCTCCAGTTGGAATTGCTGGAACACAGGAGCATATCCCTTTCATTTCAGGCTCCCAGAGGTAAAGTCTTTTTTTTTTAATCCTCTCTTTAAGTGATTTGTTTCTGTTCCTTTTTGTTTGTCATCACAGGTCAAGAATACAACTTTTTAAAGATGGAAGCTGGGGAAGTGAACTCACTAGGAGAGACCTATGACTTTGACAGCATCATGCACTATGCTAGGAACACATTCTCCAGGTGATAATCCAAGGTTACATGTCCTTAGGACTATTTTTGGTAGTTGTGGTTGGCTCTGAGGGATAAGTAGAGCCTAGAATCTCTGTGATCTATTGTAGAGATATGTGGCAGTAGAGATATGCAGCAGTGAGCTCTGCTGCATTGCAAAGCATGAAAAATATTTGAAAAAGCAAGGTGAGTGCAGTATTGTGAACTCCTGTTTTTCTCTTCCCGCTATATTCACTCAGTAATAATACTGGTAATCTCAGAGACCTTCTAAAGCCACGTTAACACTCTTTGCAAACTTTCCAGGCAGCACATGTGTATCTGTGTGTGTGTCTGCCCACATGCAAGGTGAGTAATGCTAAAACAAGCTTGGAATCTCTTGGTTGTCCAGCTTATGCTTTGGAGTCGCAGTATTGCCTTCAGAGTCTCCAGTGGCTTTGCCAAGGGAAAATTCAACTCTAGATCATGATCTTTAATTACTTGGGTATTTTTTTTTTTACCATTTATGCATGTTCTTTAGATCATGGCCTCTGCAGCTGTATGGTTCTCTGTGAGTGGGTTTTTCATGGAGAAGTTATCAGTACTGTCCCAACTAACTGTCCAATTTCTGTGTAGACTATTTGCCCTTGACTATCATCTCATCCCTCCAGATGAAGCCTATTTTCTGATCAAACTGCTCTACTGGATAGAGAGGTGAAATAAACATAGTTATTTATGTCCTGGATTTGAAATGAGAGTTACTGAATGATCAGCTTCATTTTGCTGCATTATTTGAAGGTTTTTTTCATAAATCCCCCTATTGTTCTTTCCCAAGAGCTCTCTAACACTACATACTATGATTAAAGGGGTTGGAAGGCAGAGTGGAAATATTCACACTCTTGACAACTTTTTGTTTCAAAAACTGAAAGGTGTCTTTGGGGCTTTTTAAACTTTCTTATTTCCCAGTTGTATGAAAGGGCCAAGCCTGTTGTTTTGTGCTTTTGTTTCTGCAGCTTCACATCAACCAGTGGAAAATTATCACTGCTACTTGTTCTGGCAGGAGGAGATGGTGGCTGGGCAAGGGTGTCTTGCATCCTTCAGAGATTTCTTTGGATCAGATATCCAAAGCAAACAATTCTTCTTCCCTTGAGGCATCTGCTGGACCCTTCCAGCATTTGCTAAACTCTAAATAGTTAGAATTGTCTTGCACAAAAGCAGGATTAAGTTATTACCACCATTTATTTTGTGGATGCTTTTGAGTCTGTGTCTCCTGAAAACCAGAGTCCTTCAGAGCACTGCTGGACCGAAATGGGATAAAAATGGCAAGAGACCTTCTAAATTTAAATTGGTGCTTGATAGGATTTTTCAGTGTGTTTTCTTTAAGCCCTTTGTCTCTGTGACTCACCCTCACCCCAGGAGCAGTCTTTGTGCAGTAGTTGAACTGAGCACTGAGTGCCTCTGTGGGCTAATTGTGCTCTCACCAGAAATAGGCAGTGCTGGGAACAGGCTTTTACTTTACCAAGACCTGTCTTGACGTCTGCTCCCCTAAGGGAACAATGCTTTGACTGGTCAGTAGAGATTGGTGGGTGTATGCACGTCTCCTGCCCACCTTACTGAGCTTTGCGAGTGCTGGCCAATTGCAACCCAAACTGATGAAAGCACAGAGCCCATGAAGATATTAAGTTCCAGCAAGATTCATTAAGATCAGTGGGTAGGAAAGGGAGAGAGTGCCTGTGTGACCCTGCAAGGGAAGGGCTGCAGTGGGTGTGTTAATACATTAGGACAACAGAAAGCCCATGTAAGAGGATGGTATGAGCACCTGACCAGCAGAGATGGGATATGTGAGTGAGAAGGAGGGGAAGGGCACAGAGCCATGTCTGTGACTTACTCTCTTGTAGCAATTCTTACTTGACACTTAGCACAACCTTGTTGGTTTTAACTTCTGCCAGTATTGATGATAGCAAATGATACAGTGTTTGCCATGGGCAAGTGCTGCTGTAAATCCTGGGCCCTTTTTGTTCTAAACTTTGTAGCTAGGATAGAAAAGTACAGTTTTTCTGAGACACAATGAGTCCTGGCAGTGGAAAGTATTTTCAGGCATACTTTTGAGAATTGCTGTAGGAGTCACTCCTCCTTTTCATTTCAACAGCAAAACACGTTCCTCATTTGCGTCTGTGGCTAATAAGAATAGGAGTGTGGCACAAAAGACTGTAATGACAGCAGTAACAAGTTTTTAACACGGGAATTTCTGTTCTCATCTATATCTGAAAGTTGCCTGTTTTGCAGAATGTGGCTGCAGGCTTTCATTTCCTGGTGCATTCCTTACAGACATGGCAGCAATCTAAACTGAATACTGCTGTCTCATTAAGCAATTTATTTTACAGCTGTCAAGGCCCATAAATGGCAGCTTAGCAATAAGAAAGTTTAAACCTCCACAGAGCCCTAAGCAAATAGTAAGTTACCTTAATTTACTAAGCTGCCTGCTAGTAAAAATGGCAGCACATTATGTTTGGAGTTACAAAACAGGATGCAGGTAGCACTGCCTGCATGCCAAGGGACATCTTCTTGATGTATTTGCAATGCACCATCCTAATCCTGCACAAGATGGATACACATCCTCCACAGGTTCTACTGCATTGTCTCTATTCTGCACATGGGGATATAAATACAGAGTTGGAACAAAAGGTAGCTGCCTGCAGCTGGGTCCTTGAGTATCTGCTTCCTTGAGTGTTGTTTAAGCACCTCTATCTGTTGCCCTATCTATTGGGGCATGGATGTTTAGCATTTATTGAGATCAGCTGATAATTTCATAACACTGCCATGGTGGTTTACACATTCAGGGTACTTTGTGGATGCTCATGACTCTGCTGAGTTCTTTTAAGGGTAAAATGAGAGGAACTATACTTACTGCTTTGTAATTGGGAATCACGTTCAGCAATATATGTGAAAGGAGTCCAAAATTCAGTTGGAGAAAAAAGCAAAACCAAAAATCTTACTGCCCCAGCCGAGAGCACAGCCTTCTGAAAGAAAATGGTAGGTAATAAGGGTAATTTGACGTTGTGAATTATTTGCATTGTGTGAGCAATGCCCTAGGTGAATGCGATGTGCAGAAAGCTGAGGGCTATGAGTAAACAGTTGTGAGGGCTGGAATGGGAAAAAGAATCTAAAAATTTGTGTGTGCAAGTGGTGGTTTCTCTGTTAAACTCTGTCATTCTTCCCTGGTTGACCTTGGAGATCTGCAGAAATCATTTCAGAGACCATAGAAGTATGTCCCTGCCAAATGCCAAGTTCTTCTGTGAACTCCTGAGGAGGCTTGAAAATGTACTTTGAGCAAACTGACCTGTTTCTCTGTGGTGTTTCTGGAACTGGGGGATTTATTTCTAATACATAAACTTCAATAAATTCAGCCCAAGGCATGCAGCTGGCGTGTAGAATACCAGACTGAATTTATAAATCAAAATTTGATGGACTCACCTCAGATCTCTTAAGTACCAGTTTTGGTGCTGATGAGGAATTTTGCAGGAAAAAACCAACATCTCCCGTGCAAGAGTTGATTCCAGTTTCTAAAACTCCCAACACTCCCACCACCCCTCGGACAATATGTTTCATGGAATGATATTTTCTGTTAGTTGTGATACAAATACTCTGCTTGCAGTATTTATTTAAAATTAAACCAGTTTGAAAAAAGCCCTCTAAAACTCCTTCCCAAGGCTCTTACGCAGCTGAACAGCCCAATGAACAGAATTACTTGTGCACTCAGTGCGTTACCCATACTTGAAGACTCTTGTTATCAGGATTAGACAGCACTAAATTATTGCTTCTGCCCTGATTTCCTGTTGGACTCTACAGACAGGATACAGTTGTATCCTGTCCTTCAGAAAGAGCAGTCTGCCTCACTGAGCTGATGCTGAAGTTAAGCTCACTGTTAACCTTGCCAGCCCCAAGCCTGTTAGACATTCAGGGGTGCAGTAAAAGGGTTCCTGTGGACTGGACAGTCTGCCTGCAAGAGCTTGGACTCCACCAACCTGGAGTTTAGGTTTCTGTCTCCCTCCCTCCCTGAAGTCCTAATTCTCTCTTGGGGGGTTGCTCTTGCATGCAAGCTCTTGCTTGGATTCGTGGAGTGCATTTTGATAGAAGTGAGGCCTGAGCTTAAATCCTTCACTGGACTGAGATCAGAAGTACAGTAAAGAGTTCCTGAGTAAGAAGCACATGGAAGAAATAGTAGCAAGTAAAAAGAGGCAGACAGAAGTGGAGTTACTAACTTGGAAACTTGTGCAGAACAAGGATAGAGCACTTGATCTTTTCCTCTTGTCTATGGCAGGCACAGTAATTGCCAGCCCAACCTAATCTGCTACTGAACAAACTCCCCTTCCCTCTCCTCCTTTGGCTTAAACATCCAGCCTGTACTTGTGCTGAGCCAGATGTGCCATGAACCTTCTGCAAGAATATTTAATTCCTTTTTCTGATTTATGGCAAGGAATGTGTCTATACTCAAACAGAGGCAGCAGCAATCTTGGGACATCAAAGAGGAATTTACTGGCTTGGCGGACTTGCCTGTACATTTGGAAGCTGTCTGCTATAGTGAGAAGGCTGTCTGGAGACATGCAGTTATCACAGGTTGCATCAGTCTTACTTGTTAGCATGGGATATAGGGTCACGGGGATGGGGTGTGGGAGGCCTGCCAGGATTACCTTCTGTGCACTGTGTCCCTTTCCCTACTTCACTGCTCTGTGTCTCTCTGTTCTTCCCTTTAGAGGGGTTTTCCTTGACACCATCCTCCCCCGTCGTGATGATAATGGGGTCCGGCCAACTATTGGGCAGCGTATTCGCCTGAGTCAGGGAGACATCGCTCAGGCAAGGAAGTTGTACAAATGCCCAGGTAAATATGGCTTGTGGAGATGGCTCCAGCTTTATTGTAGACATATGGTTTATCTGGAAGGCATTGTAGTTCAAGACCTTAACGATCCCTTTGAGGAAAGAGACTCGGGAAACACAGACTATCAAATGCTTCAGGCTGAAGCTCTGGGAGAAGTGAACTTGCCTAACATGTGTCTCCTATTAGTACTTTGCCAGTATTCTGGTTTGGTTTAGGGCTTCAGTGTAGGCTCTGTTCACAGAAAATTAAATCAGTGTACAAGACCACAGAGTGGGGACCAGGAGTTATCAAAGTGGCGGAAGGATATCTGGTAGACTGGGGTCTCTACACACCATCAAATATCTCCTGTAATTTATATAGTTGTTGTCCCAGAAATGAGCCTTAAGTGTGTCTCTGTGATTATGGTGTGTTGCTTGGGAGATAACATGGAAGAAAGCTCTAAGATGCTGATTTGTGAAACATCCAGTTGGGTGCTGGAAGCTGGTGCTTTGGACCATTCAGGAATGGGCTGTATCCCTCTTTCTGCTGCCAAAGGGTTGATAGACTGGGAACAGCTTTGATAGAGAACCCATCTATGTAAGTGTGACATACTATAGACCAATACCAAGGTCCTACTTTGTATGGGGTCTGGAAAGATTGACAAAAAGAACATTGGGGTCACAGATATGACTGGGGGATTAGATTAATCCATCAGAACGAGAGAATGCTTTTAAATTGGAGATGTTAGACAATGAAAGTTTATGCCACTGTTTTAGCTGAATATTTTAATAGAGAAAACCAGATTTCAGAGAAGCAATCTGTCAAACTTAAGGACAGGCTGAGCATGAGGATGCAAACAGAGGTTTCAAGCAAAGATGGCACCCAATCTGGTGCCTGTGGCATGGACTGCAGTGACTGGGAAGAGACCGGAATAGGTGTGATGCTTGGAGGCAGAAAATTTAACAAACTCTGTCGAATTTCTGCAGGTTATCAACATCCATGAGAAGATACTGGAGAATGAGAGAGTTACCCTAGTTTTGCAGAATTACTCTGTAACTTTTATAATAATGCAGGGAAGTAAAACAGGACTTTTGCAAGCATAGCCTAGAAGGTTATCTTAATGGGTTGATCTGGCCAGCGAGTAGTTCAGTTGAGAGTGGCTTTGATCATAAACCTAATATGATCATAAGTGATTACTCCTCTAGAAATAAACATATCACAAAGAGAGGGGAGGAGGATGAGGGCTAAGTTTCACCAGTATACAGCATCACATCTTAAGTAAGTAGGTGGCTAGCACTGCTCTGTAAACCATTTGTGAGGCCGTGGAGAGTGGTGGATAGCTGGTGTGCAAATCCGCTGCTTCTCTGTATCCATGTACAGGTCAGAAAGTATGGGTTCATAAGGGTCTAGAATGAATTCTGAGGACTTCAGGGTCCATATGTTTGGGGATCACTGCTTTTAGCTTATAGTGGGTGGTATAACTTTCTTAGGTGTGTTAGTTCTAATTAACTTTTTTTTTCTTTTTACCCCTTATAATTATCTCTAAATTGCTTTTGGTAGAACAAAGCACTGTTCTTGAGAAATTATCTCATTGATTAGTTTAGGGGTTGATTTGTTTTGCACTATGTTTTTTGATTGAGTCAGAATTAATCCAAACAGGCTTTTCATTCTCATAGCTGGAAGAATCAACTACAGATTTAGATTTCTTGAGGCAAGCTGAAAAGCCACTTTGGCCTGAGGTTAAAGTTAAACTAAAAGCTACAAAACAACATTCTTTAAAATGAGGACCCTTCTGAGTCTCAAGTTTTCCACTTGCAAAGTAGAACTTTCCTACTTATTTTTTTCCACAAAGGTTTAGCAGAGGTTATTGCAGTTCAGAACGTATTTGGCAGCAAAATGATTAGAGCTTTAAGCCTACTAACCAATTTTTTTTTTCAAATATCTGTTGTTCTGGTTTGGTTTTCTTTTTCTCTTTGCATCAAAATTTATACTCAGGTTGCACCTGAAAGGAGGTACAGTATGTTTAATGACATTAACATCTTCATCTGCCATTTGAATCTGTAGCTTGAAAAGTTCTGTAGCTCTGCAAAATACAAAGCAGGGGAGTTCAAAACCAAAGGACTTCAACTGTGTGTTCAAGCAGGGTCTGAATGAGACTAAGTTGAGGACACTTTGTTCAGTTAGTCAAGCTGAGGATTTTTAGGTAAAGTGCAGCAACATCATTCAGAAGTTGAATGGCAGATAGCTTCCCTTCTAGAAAGAGAGTCTCCATCTGAGAATACCTTATAATATCTCTCCAAAAAAAGGGCTAGTATGATGGAGGATGAGTTACAAGTATGCACTGGTACAAGTCAGAACAACTGCTGTGTCTGTTGTAAGAAACAGGGCTCTCCAACTTCATTAGATTGGAGCTCATGTGGCTGCTACAGTTACGGCTTGCTTAGCTTGTCCATTCTAAAACCCTGCTGGTTTAAATTGCTCTTAATTCCCCAAAGCTTATACCTGCTGGGTTAAAGTTAGTGCCAAGCCAGGTGAAACAATATGAAATTTGCTGAAGGAATTTGTGGAAGGCAAGATGCAATCTGCTACATAGTAGTTAATGCTAGATTTGTTATGGCTGCATGGTTGAGGATTTGACGACTATAGTCTCTACAAAAGGCTTTTAAAAAATTCATCCTGCTACCTTGTGCTGAGCTAAAGGAAAGAGGCCTGTGTGGCCATGCAGGAATGGTTAAAATATAAACCGAGAATGGTCAAACTATTAATTGAGAATGGTCCTGCATTATATCATCTCTTCCAGTCCTCTGGGCGTTTTCTAATAGATGCAGTGTACCAGTAACCAGCTGATGAGCTGTAAGTGTCTGTCACTCAGCTACTTCATTTACAAATGAATTCTGAAGCATTCACCTTTCTACTTTGCTTTTCACCTCTGTTGCTTTCTAGCTGCTCAGTTTCTTCGATCCCAGAAGTACCAAACAGTGGCTTTATTGGACCTGCTGGCTTCTTTGCTACTAAGTGGAGTGCAGTCGTATCACTTTTTGAGATGCTCTGCAAGAGACTGTGCTCTACAGACAAACATGCACTGCTTGTTATCATGCTTCCCCCTGCACATGCAAGCAAGCACTTTCCTCCATGCTGAAAGGCCAGCCTCTCCCAGTGTGTCTAGGGAGTTTCCTCTGCAAGGGTGGATAGTTAGATAGGTCTCCTTTCATGATATTTCAACAGACCAGTCTCTGGAAGTAGATGGAATAGTACCTGTTCCGTAATTACTCAGTCTTGCCAGGAGCTGTGTAATTACACTTACGAGAATTAAGTCTGGGCTGTTGGAAACCTTCACTCTGGTTCAGCTGAGAGTGATAATCCCCTATGTCACTATGGTTATGTTGTATGTGTTTCCCATGATTTAGAGCTCTCTTTATCATTTCATATTTGTTTAAATAGATTTTTGAGCAGATAAAAAGAACATTCATTTATCTCAGTGAGTTATGGATTGGAATTCCCTCTAAAAAAAATAATTATTAAAAAACCCCTTTTTGTGTCCCCACCTATCGTTCATCTAATCTGATCTGTCAGGCTGTGTATAAGACTTCTTTAGGGAAATTAAGAAACTGTGGTTAGGTAACTCCTTCTCCCCTGTTTGAAGATACCAAACTTTTTGAATGGGATCAGTCTCTTTTCACCTCCAGCTTCCAACCTGCCCATCTAAATGTAATCGCCCATCTAAATGTAATCACGGCTGCAAAATTAGCGTGTGATAGCATCAAGCAGAGGAACAACCTCTGGCATTTCCATGAGAAAAGAAAGGCCTTGTCGGATCTTTCAAAGCACTGCTGCTTAATCAGGGATTTTTGGGGGCTGCCTTACCGTCTCTGAGGAAACCAAGTTGCAGATCAAGGGCAGCTTGTGTGTTATGAAATTGGAAAAACGACTGGGAAGCAGGCAAGCCAAGGTCCCTGCATCTTGCAGTAGGTATTTGGATGTGTCTAGTGAGCACTCTGAAGGAAATGGGAGCTTTGATATTTGTGATCCTCCCACTTAGCCAGTCAGCTGCTCTGCAGATGTAGATGGTCACTCTTCGTTCAGGCTCAGTCTTCCTGGCTCAGAGAGCAGGAACTACAGTAGTCACAGCTTTCCCAGATGTTGGAAGCTGTGGTTCCCTAAAGGAGCATATGCATGTGCATGTTCCTTGCTTCCTGAAAATCACTGTGGGATCTACATTTCATCAGCTGCAGCAGGCCACAAAATGGGAAGTTGGGAGAGCGATGGGCTGCTGTGCTCACGTTTTGTCCTGTGCACTGTGATTGCAGGGTAGGTGCAGGGCAGCCAAAGCATGAAGGCAGTGGGGCTTGCCCTGCTTTTGTTAGGATGTTTTAGCCCCAAAAAAGACACTTAACAATGGTAACTAAGGAGAACTTCATTGAGCAGCTTGTAATGAAGGGAAAACAGATTTGCTCCCAGCAATTGTGGGGTTGTGAGGTGGGGTGGGGTTAATACTTTGCATTTGATTAGTGGAAACCTGAAAGTGCTGGCACGTGGAAGGAAGATGAAGGAAGAAGGGTGGCCTCTTTAAAAGCTGTTTCCCCTATGTCCTTTCACTGATCGTCTTCTATCCTAGAAATTCTGACAAATTTCACATCACCCCTTTGGCAAGGTCTCAGGTGCTCAATGACCTTTGGCCAGTACCATGAATGAGCATCATTAGAGTGCCAACCACCAACCCACACACTACAGCCATGCACAAAGATTTTGGTAGACCCTGAGGTCTTTCAGAGTCACTCCTTTTTGACAGGTTTTTTCCCCTCTCCTGCAGCTTGTGGAGAGACCTTGCAAGACTCAACAGGTAATTTCTCAGCCCCTGGCTTTCCAAATGGCTACCCCTCCTATTCCCACTGTGTCTGGAGGATCTCGGTGACCCCAGGGGAGAAGGTAGGTGCCACACCAGCACAAGGTGTACTCTGCATTTCCCTCACATGTGATTTTGCCTGTGATGACAGTGTTAGTAGCTGCCAGAAGATCTCTGTATGCCTGGGGTGCAGAGATGGAACCTGGAAAGGCTCACGAGCACCAGTGCTGTCCTCCCAGAGATGGAGTGAGGGATACATGGTCCTGAGGAGAGGAGAGGTACTGCTGGAGCAGAACCTTCTCCCAGGTCTGGACTGTGTGTTGATCTTTGATCCTCACTCTCAATTTGAGGCTGAACCCTGCATGGACATTTCCTATCCCCTACTATCTCTGGCTGAGCTCACCTTCCAAAGCCAGGTGCCAGTCAGATGAGTTAGATAAAATGTGCCAGCCATCTGGGGTCCTTAAGGGAGCCAAGGAGCCATGAGTGACATGTGTGGCCTGCCCCTATCACGCAGGCATAATATGCCTGTCAGGGAACTCCCAGTTCCCGCCTTGAAATGCCAAGCCCCGCTGAGCATCAATCACCCACCCTGTCCACCTTCTTCTCAGCTCTTTTTGTTTTATTGATCTTCCTGTAGAAATGAAATCTTTCCTTAATCCAGTAATACCAGCCTTTCAGGCCTTTCATGCCATACCAGGCTGCAAGAATGCACAGTCCAGCTTGGGAGCTCCTTAGCAGAGTGACTTTGCTGAGGACCACCCTCAACACATGCTTAAGACTTGGACAAAGTGCAGGATCTGGTTCTGTCACCTGCAAGCCCAGTTCCATGCCATGCTGGGCTCCTGCCATCAGCTGCAGGGAGAGCATCACTGGGGCAGGAGGGCCAAGAGCCATCCCAGTTTGTAAACTGTGGCACTGGGAGTTTTGTGGTGTGGAATCTTACTGTAAACTCTGCCTTTGCTTCTCAGCCTCTTCAGAAGAGTTGTGTAGGTTTGGATGCTGAGCCACTAATGTTAAAAAAGAAAATAAATCATCGATTTCAGATTGAATGCTTCAACTTACCTGTTTAATCAAATGCAGTGATTGGTACAAAGCAGCATTGTAGCACTGAGGTGTTAGCTGAGAACAGGTACTGGGCTTGTAGCATTCATCTGCATAGAAACAGATAAATCTCCTTTTGCTGTCCAAAGTCAGAAAACTGCAGAAGCATGAAAAAAGTGAGTGACATCATTGCAGACTGCCTTCTGGACTGCCAGTCAGGACTTTGGGAGAGAACATCTATTCTAGTCTAATGACATTTCTGTGGCAGATTATGGATGTAAATGAATACATGGGTCAAATCTTGTGAAGAAAAAGATACAAGTACACCCCATCGGTGACCTCCACAGGCCCAGACCAAGGCCTGTGATCCATGTGACAGAGGAAGGAGGCTGAAGTAATAACATTTTAATGCTAAACTGCGCTTGATAAAGCCACTAAACCCAATTGCATCATTGTGATGGTGTGAGTCTGATTGTCAGAATGTGGAACCTAATCAGCAAAATTATATTTTTCTTACAAGTGTCATTTATATGAAGGTATAGACCCCAGAAGTGTGTTTTGTGACAATGTCTTTCTCTATGATGTTCACATTGCTGAAAAACAAAGATTCGGTTTTTAATTTTAAAAATCCAAACAGGCTTTTCTTTAGTAGTTTTTAGTAACTGAGGAGCATTGACTTTTAATTACAGTTGATTGTAAAGAGTTATTGGCTGTCATGTACTGTCATGGTTTCATTAAAATACCTTGAGAAGCCTTCCTTTTTTGAGGAAAGCTGATGTACAAATCCCACCAACTGCCCAACTGTCTTTTCCTGCATACTCACTTAGGCAGCACTGTAGCAGAGATGAAATACAATCTGTAGGATCTTTTTAAAGTAACTCCATCCCCAAAGAGAAATGTGTACTCTCTCCTTTCAGATTATGTTAAATTTCACATCAATGGACCTCTTTAAAAGTCGCCTTTGCTGGTATGATTATGTGGAGGTGCGTGATGGCTACTGGAGAAAGGCTCCATTATTGGGCGAGTACCTGTTTCATTTTAAATTGCATTTCATGTATTGTTCTTGATGCATTGGAGAGTGAGTGGGGAAAATAAACAGAAACAAACCTTTCTTTACCCGGAAGGACCCTATGTCAAGCCAGTGCACTGGCCATCCCTTAATGTCTCCATCCAGAGATGTTTGTGTGCTATATTCACTCCAAATGATTCATACTCCAAGACCTTTGGTAGCAAAGATTTTGTTCCTTCCTTTTCCAGCTTGAGAAAGGATACAGGGAGGGAAGTGAGTCAGGGCCCTGGCTGGGACTAAAACTGTGGTCTCCGGAGTTTTATTATTGTTCTTTCCCAAGTCCGGGGTGGAATTGTCAGGCAGTCAGAATGAAGCAGCTGTACTACAGCTCCTGACCCAAACTCTTGCCATTATTTCTCAAGTATTTGTGTTTACAAATGCACAGTACTCTGTACTTGGAGCCTCTGTACTCCTAGCAGGGAAGTTGCTAGACCATGCCTAGGATGTCAAACTGTGCAAGGACTCTGCTCTGCTCCTGCTCCCATTCCCAAAGAAGTTGTGTTGTTCTCTGAGAAGCGCAGCTCCTCTGTATCCTCCCTATTCCTCTGCCTCCTGCTATTGTAACTGCAAGTCTTCTGTCACCCTGAGTGGTTCAGGAATCCCACCTACTTTTTCATTGGCTCTGATCTTGACTTCATACCCTAACCTTGGTGTCCCAAACATGTAAAATGCTGCACTGCAAACAGCCCCTTCTGCCTGAAAGAAAAGAAGTAATCAGCTTGTGTAACATCCCCAGCTGTGTTAGAGCAGCTGTGCCCCATGCTGCAGCACAGGATTGGGACAGTCAGCATTGGGTCAGAGGGTTTAGGGAGGTTTGGGTGCTCTCCTTGACCCTACTGGACATCCTAGCCCTGGTACCAGGTGAGGTACTAAGGTTGAAGCCGTGCTGGTCTCCAGGTTTCTGTGGGCCTACCTTTCACTGTAGTTGACAGCCAGCTTTACTGCTTCCTGCCTCTTTTGGATTTGGCAGCATTTATTGCTGTTCTCTGCTGCACGTGCATCAGGTAACATTGCTCCAGCAGCTGCAACTTAGCTCCTCGTTATTTTTTTTTTCTGCCGAGTAATTTAAAGGTATTTCAGAAGCCAAGCACCTCCCTGTCCCCCTAGTGCAGGTGGACTTGGGAGTGATTCCATCTGGAAGGAAACATTGCATGAGTGGCCATGGCTCCCGCATGGGGCTGAGCCCATGAAATTAGCTCGGAAGAGGCAGACAGACGGCAATTCAGCAGGGGGTGGGGAGGGGGATTAGTGTGAATTGTGAAAGCACAGGCTTCTTGTGGAGAGAAAAAATACATGTGTGCTGCATATTTTCCCAGGGAAGTGTGTGAAAACCCAGCCTTTAAATGGTGTATAACTTTTTATGAATGGGCCCTTTATCACACTCTGAGGAGCTTGCTCATTCTCGTTCCTCATCTGCTTTTCCTCTTCTTGACACCCCTGTTAAACTCCAAGTCCAAATCCAGGAGGCAGTTGCTCAGTGACCCTAGAGGAAGGAGCTTTGCAGCGCTGATGCTGTTTTTAGCATTGCCTTTGGGAGTGGAGATGGGAGATGCTATTGGTACATTGGTTGTCATGCTACCCCAACAGTACTGGACAGCTTGGGGGTACAATAGTAGCTGAGTAAAGCTGGGTCCAAGATAATATTTGGATGAGTGATTCTGCAAGAGAAAAAAGTTGGTGGTGAAACTGCCATTCCCAGCCAGGTAATGGAAACTAAGAGGCTGTATTGCAGGTAAGGCATTAACCAGGTTTTTACCCCGTAGGGGTTTTTCAAAGATGCCAAGATCCCTCTTACCACTGTCCTAACTGAATTCAACCTGAAGAAGTATTCTCTGCCTCTGTCTAAATCCCAGTGGGATTCAGTTGGACAGGGTGCCAAGACCATGTTGAATTCAGTGTATAGCTGTGCTGGTGTCAGCTGAAGTCAAAACCCATGTTTGTGCTGTGCAAGCTCCTGCCCCAAGTGCAGGTTCCTGACTATCAGGGCATACCTGGTGCTTGCTCTGTTTCTGTGAAGAGCATCTGGCTTGAATAGGTAGAGGAGCACCAAATTGGGGTTGTTGAGGTTGTTTGGGCTGAAGATGCATCTGCAGCTGATCTGCTTCAGGATTCATACTTGATTGCAGAGTTTGGGTATTTGCCAATGCTGGTGAGTGCCAGAGAGCTTATTGCTGGGGGAACCATGGACCAAAAAGGCTCTTGGTCTCATTCTCTTGAAAGCAATTGACTGCAGAAGCTTAACTGGGAGAAGTTGAGCAGAGAATAAGAGTTTTTTCCTCACCTGCATGGCCATGTCTTGCCCTTGGCTTGACTTACACAATTTACTCTTGCGTGCAAAATGCTGAAGGAGTTTCCAAGGCCTAGCAGGTGGAAAGAATGTTCCCTAATGTAACATCTCTGGAAGGACTGGGGATAGTTCATTGAAGCTCATTTGCCCAATTATGTGATCAAAACATGAGCCCTTTTGAATTTACCAGGGCAACAGAAGCTTCATCTGTGACTACTGGATTCTGCTCCCAGCTGAAGAGAACTTTCATTCATTTCATAATTGAAAAGAATATGAATTAATGGAGGGGGGACACAGAAACTTATTCAAAAGCACAAGTGATGGGACTGAAAGGGTCTTTTCCACAAGCACAGCTCCTTTAACCACAGATTCTTTGCTTCCTGGAGGCACTGTGCTACCCATCAGCCAGGAGATCACAAAGATCCTGATTGTCTCTTTCCTGCCTTGTAGGTAGATTTTGTGGTGACAAGATTCCTGAACCAGTAATATCCACGGACAGCAGGCTGTGGATCGAGTTCCGGAGCAGCAGTAACATCCTGGGGAAAGGCTTCTTTGTGGTTTATGAAGGTACAGCCCTTAGCTAGAAGTCTGTCACATTGTATGGAGCAGGAAGAACAGGATGCAGGGAGTTTATGGGTTAGCAGGAGTTCTGCTGCACTGTGTGGTTAGATACAGCCATACTCTTGTTTTTATGGAAATTGGCAGATTTTGTGCATTGTTTCAGTAGACAAGGCATGGATCTTCCAACAAGACCATCACATTTTGGGGGGGCACAACAGGAGAGCAACACAAAGCAAGCTTCTGTACATAGGCTAGGTTCTGTTTACTCTAACCAACCCCTGCAAGCAGCAGTGTGGGGTGTAGCAGGAGTTTTTTTTTCACTGTTTTAGTAGGCAAAGTTCTGTTTGGGACCATACATTTTATATCACTCAATACAGGTTGTCTTGGGGTGGTTTTTTTTTTTCTCAAATGCAAAGATTGTTCTTTTGTTTCTCCCTTGTATGTTTTACTTACAGAAGATTGGAAATTAGCATGTCAGATCTTCTACAGGTCAGGTACTTTAGAAACTTGCACGACACTGGGATGATGAACCACTTCAGAGGAGGAGCAATACTGCCACAGTCACTACAAATCAGTAACATCCCTTTTCCATATATGCTTTTTTTTTTTTTACAATAATGATTCCATTGTTCTGTGGGCAACAGGCATTTTCTTAGAAGTACCAGCATTGTCAGCAGTACTAAGGTTGACTGTACTGCATCATCATCTTTCTTCAGCCACAGGAACAAGTATGATGCTGGAAGCCCAGTGCCCAAGTGTCCAATAAACTCATGAATAATGATACTAACAGAGGGAAGTGAAGCAAACATGGGACTGTTGGGGAAGTGCAAATAAAGCACATGAGGATTTCACAGCAGTAAGGGACTAACAAATCTGTTTCACAGGAGAAATATCTGGTTTCTGCAGGAATTGTTGCCCCAGAGACAGAGGTAGCTTGACTGATTTCTTTTTTTTTCCTTTTTTAATATTTCTTCTGAAAAGCAGCTGTTGCTTGGACCATGTGGTTTGTAACACCCCTTTTATGGTAGTTTCCTGGAATTAGAAGTGATCAAACTAGTGTATATGGCATCACGCTTAATATTGCTAATTGGTATTGGAAGAAAAAAAAATTTACATTGGCTACATTCCAAAGTCACTTTGCAAAGTGACTTTCTTTTCTCTTGATAAATTCCTATGTTTCCTGTTGATTGATAAATGATCCCTAAAGGTTCAGTAAATATAAGCAATACTTGCTTCACTTGACTTTTGAATAGAGCAACTGGAAGTGGAATGTGCATCTAGTGGTCAAACAAACTCCAACTGTTCATATTTTCCTGCCTCTTCAAGACTGGTGTTTTATGTATCCCTTTGCTGAAAGAAGTTTCCCATTGGAAAGGTATGGAATCTATGGCTATGCCTGAGAGCAAGCACAGAGCATGACTGGTGGAAACCAGCTTGTACAACAGAAATAGTGATGGCACATTGCACAGTTCTTTTCTTAACTCAGCCTCCTCTTGTCAGAGCAGCAGGTAGTAAGATTATCTGCATCTCTCTCCATAATTTATTTGCTGAAATAGGAGATTTTCTAAAAATCTTCCTTAATCTCTATTTCCCTCTAAAGCAAGCTCTGGTAATGGCTTGTTTCTTTCCTCCATTGTCAGGTGGCTTGCTCAGCTGTTTTGTGACTTCTGTGCTTAGGCAATAAAGGTAATCTTTATTTCCAGGAGGGTTTGCCCATAAATGTTTCATTTTTTTATCCGTTTTTGTCCAAAATCTTTCTGTGTTGCTGTTAGTTCCTCTTTTTCTTTTGAACTCCTCCCTCACATACTAAAAAAACCAAAGTGGGTTTTAACTCTGCTTCTCTGTCTTCTGCTTTAGTGAGAGTGCATGTAAATGCTCGTGCATCTGAACTTTACTGGAAGCTCTTTGGGTGAGGACTCATTTTTGGATTTGGATTCCTCTGAGTCTTGGACTGAGAGTTTTCAGAAGATGTGAGGAAAGAGGCATAAGCATTGTAGCCACATTGTGGTAGAATTACTTGATGCTAAATGACAGATAACGTAGGGAAAGTGTCCTCTTAGTTCAGTCATTCTGTCCCCTTTCATTCATAAGATTCAAGATGGGAAGATGTTGGCAGTTTTGTCCTACAGCACTGCTGGCAGCCCGAAATTTGGCATCATTATTGCCTTCTCAGGCTCTGTCAGCAGATGTTTTCTCCATTTTGCAGCAGGGCTTTTCCAAGTATAGTTGTCTGAACTACTGTAGTGGATGGAGAAAATATTATTTGTTGGCTGTCAGTTTTATGGCTCTTAAAAAAAAAGGTCAGTTCTCTGCTCTCATAGTCCTCTTTCTGTTAGGTGGGGGAGACAGTTTTTTAAAAGAGTCCCTCAGAGCTTCTCTCAAGCACCACTTGTAGCTCTGAATGTATGAACTCAAACTGCAATCTAAATTGTGCTCTGCAGCTGAATTTTTCAGTGCAACTGTTTGGAGGTGTTTTAACACTGATTCTCTAAGAAAGCCTGTAGCACTGCACTAATAAAACAGTGCTTTTAACTAGGTTACATTAACAGCTTACAATGCAAAACCAAGAGAGTGTTACCCAATGCAAGCAATTTCCAGGACACTATAGGTAGACCCACCTCTGAATTGCTAATACAATGCATTGTGGGGAGAACCCAAGGGTGAGGATGGTTGATGTCTGGCAGTGTCATTGCAGTACCATGTCTCTTATACTTACTGCTGGTGTGTTTTTTTGCTTGACTTTGAATACAACCAAAACATTCATATGTCTTTTGTAGACATGTGTGTCATGCATCATGGGGTAACACAGGTTTTAGCCTGTGATCCTACCTTTATTTCTTATGTAGTCTTGCAGACAATTTTGTTGAACTGTTATTGTCTTTGATGTCTCTACCAGTTTTTTATAAAACTAGATTTTCACTGAATTTTCTATTCTTGGTCTTTAAACTTACTCATTCTCACATTTGACACTGAAACTTAATTTTTCATGCACAGCCGTCAGCCTGATGGTCTGGTGGTGAACAGCTCAACTTGTGCTTGTTAATATTGCCATCGTGTGGCTGGATTAGATTTGCAACTTTTTTTTAATTTTTGGGTTTTGTTGTTGGGTTTTTTTGCCAACTTTTCTTGGTTTATAGAGCTGTTAGCAGGTTTCAAGCAGATATGAAGGCAACCAGGAGTATGAAACACACAAATTCATAAAAATTCTCTGTCCCAGTGAGTTCATCTTCTAAGGACGTTGGCACAGCAAGACAGGAGACACTGTCACTAAGGCAATATGTTAGACTTGTAAAAACCTCCATGACTTGTGGGTTGCCTTTGTATAACAGGTGATATTGATACAGATTTGAATTAGGAGCAGGCTTTACCTATGGAAAAACCTGCAATCTCAGGGTTTTGCTGTTTCTTTTTTATGAAGCTATTTGTGGTGGAGAAATTCACAAAGATGCTGGACAGATCCAGTCTCCCAATTACCCAGATGACTACAGACCTTCCAAAGAATGCATCTGGAAGATCACAGTTTCTGAGGGTTTTCACATAGGAATTACATTCCAAGCCTTTGAGGTGAGAAATGTTATTGTATATTATATTACAGATACTATTTTGCCTCTTTAGGTCCTTTAAAATTAAGAAGAAAGTGGTGTAAATAATAATTTATTTTAAATCTTTTGACTACTTCAGGATGTCATTTATTCTCACCAGAAGTTCGCTCAGAGATTTTGAAGCCAGGTTTTTATGATGAGTTTTCAAAAACTGTTGCTTTAGACAAATATAATTAGAAGGGACTCAAAAGTGTTGATGACATTAAATAAGGACTCATGAGTCCTTAAATTTTCATCCAGTCAAATGAAAGTAAATGGTCCCAATCCAGGCAAAAATCTCTTTTTCATGTCACTGGGACTTGGCAGATTGAAGGATGTGACTCCCCAAAGAAACATCATGTTCCCAGATGGCAAACAGGCTTTGAAGAGCTCACAAAAGGTTTTCTCCTACTGGTTATAGGATGTCTTACACTCTTAGTTAGGTTCCCAGTGGTTTGTCTTTGACAGCTGATGTATATATCACAGACAGGAGTGGACAGGACCTTAGCTGGTGCATAAATCCCATCTATCCCATAGGCTGTTGAAGCCTGGGTACACTTACCATGTTACTTGTAAAGGGCTGATACCACTAGCTCCTAGCTGTGACCCTGCAGCGGTTTCCTAAACCTTTTTGTTTGCAGTTGTTCAGCTCTGTTTCTTACAGCTTCTCATGAAAAAGCAGTTTTTAGAAAGTTAGGGTCTGGGTTTCACTAGAGGATAGCCAGAAAATAGTGGTGGAACTGAGATGTACCTAGGCTTGAATGCAATTCCAACTGCAGGAAAGCTCAGTGGCAGCCATGAGGCAAGTACCTCGTAGCCAGTTGTCTGGGGAGCTGATCTCTGGCCAAAGTCTATCTGGGGAACTAGCCAGGCTTGAAGAACCCATACTAGCAAGGTACAGGTACACACTTTTCCTATTGCAGATTGAATGGCACGATGCATGCTCTTATGACTACCTGGAGATCCGGGATGGCCTCACTGAACACAGCCCACTGATCGGCCACTTCTGTGGCTACGAGAAGCCAGAAGACATCAAATCCAGTTCAAACAAAGTGTGGATGAAGTTTGCATCTGATGCAACCATCAATAAAGCAGGCTTTGCAGCAAATTTCTTTAAAGGTATGTGATCTAGTACCTCTCACAGTCAAAGCTGAGCACGATTCATCCCTTAAACTACTGCCATCCCCAAATGACCAATTATCGTTGTATCTACTTGTAGTTAAGAGCTGTTAGATTTTTCTGTGCAACTGTCAATATCAAATTTATATACAAATTGCTTGATACTGAGGCAGGAACACCTCCTCCCTGATTAGGACAGAAAGAAAGCCTGCTGGGCCAGTATCAGCACAGGCACTAACACCTGGTGTAGCACAGCTGGACGGAATGTCACCTCCATTTAGCCATGCCAGGGGACACTTACATTTTCAAATAAGGTACTAATACTGCACAAAGGGTTTTAAAAACAACTGCATGTTTAAGTTCTATTCCAAAAGAAGCCTCTGGAGAGATGATAAATCTGAATGCAAGTGGAATCCCAGAAAAAAAATCTGAGTGCTTTAAGAGACAAATGTGTTCCTAAACTGAGATTCTCTTCAGGAAGATGTGAATATGAGTAAGATTTTTTTTTTACCTTTTTTTTACTTTTTTTAAGAGCTGGTCCATTACCAGCATCCTGGTGACTTGATAGAGGCAAGAACAGAACATCTAACTGCTTGGGAAAAATATGTGCAGAACTGCTGCAAGGTAGACAGTCATGTTTCTCTTAGGTTCAGTGACAATAGTACAGAAATAATAGCTGCAATGCCAATATTTGGATTGCAAAAGTCCTTTATTTATTTCTGCTTTAACTTTTGTCTTGTGTTAAAGGTGTCATGGTCCATTTAGATTTCTCAATTTTGCAGGAGAATGTACTCTGTGAATTAAAATTTAGTTCATGAGCTCATTAAGAAATACAGCAAACAAACCTGTCAGGGCTCAATCCCCTTTGCTGAGATTAGTCTATCACATGAATTCACTTCTTCACCATTCAAGTAATGAGGTTTCATAATCTATCATGTGTAATTCTTAAGCCATACACTTAAGTGCAGAAAAAAGAAGTAGTTAAATAAAGTTTAATTTACAGAATACATTGTCCTGTACATTTGAGAGATCTGTGACAAAGGGTGATTGCAAATACTGTGATGTTTAATTCCAGTCCCTGAACAACTCTCACAGTGTCTAGACTTCCTTGTTTAAATTTTTCAGGTTCCATAAAGACACAGGGAGTACCTCTTCCTAAAGACATTTTGGCTTTCAGGAGTGAACAGCAAAGGCTGAATGTGGCAGAATGTCTTTCAGGGATTAGCACTACATGGAGACACATCAAGTTATTCCCTAGAATCTGAGATTCTCCTGCAAGTTTGTAGGGGAAGAAAGTTATACACCTGAACCTGGGGTGCTTTCTTTGTGATACAGATAGTGAGAAATAAATTTATTCTTTTTTTATGTAAAAATGTGTAAACATGCACAGTAGTACAATTGCAGACACAGATATTTTCTGTGTAGTTTTTGCTGGCAGACTAGATCTTTCAGTGTCTGCTCAGATGTCACATATTTGAACCAGAAACCGTGTAGCTGTTGGATGGGTAGGTTGTTTGTAAGTCCATGCCGGTAACTTCAGCTGAGGAGCAGAGTGCATTTGCTTGGACCAAGCATCACAGTAGGCATAGCTACACAACTTCTAGCCAGCTAGCACTGTGGGCAGAGTTGATGTCAGTGTGCAAAAGCTGGGTAGACACACCCGGGTAGACACTCCTGTACCTGTGGAGTTTCAAGGTGGGATCTAAAGTCTGCAAACTGTACCTCCATATCAAGAGGGATTGTGACTATCAGACATTTCATGAACAAAGTAAAGAAACAAATTAGATGGCTCTGCAGGCACTCTTCAGACTGCCACCCATATCTGACCAAGCAATAGGTCAGTTTTGCCTTAATGAATTAGGAAATTAATAGATATTCAATTACATGTATTACAACAATGAAAGGAAATAACTAAAAAAAAAACCAGAGTTAAGGATGGCATTGAATGCTATGCTTCATGAGAACATGCAGTGGTAACTTCTAACTTTTCAGAGAAAATGAATCTACAAACAGCTCAGACAGGGTAAGCCTTTGTCACATCCAAGAGGCAATGTCAGGAAGATATGAAGAGCAACTACCTCATATCCACCCCATCAGGTGCATCTCAAGGGAAGGCTCCAGGATTATTCTTTATTACTTAACATCATTTCTGTAACAAATTGTTTGTGTCACTGAAGCCTGTTTTGTATATGGTTGAAGTATTAGTAGTGATGTGGTTATCTGACACGCACATTGTTGTGCCTTTCTTCTTCATGGCAAATATCAGAGGAAAAACAACACTGTAAAATATACCTGCCCATATCCAGGACATGTCCTTCCCAGGGTAAAGACTGATCACAGGGGTTTTTGATGATCATAGGAATTTCAGCCACTCTTTTTTCTCAACCAAGTAATTTAACAGCCAGATTAGAACTATTGAACCTATACCTAAGAAAAGAGCAGCAAAGAAATACTCTACTTTCTTCATAGTGAACCCACAAACAAAAACCAGAAAATAAAGTCTGTTTGCACTGGAACTGTTGCGGTGGGGGTTCCCGATTTCAGGAAGGCTTTGCAGGAAGACAGTGTTATCAATAGAAGAAAATAGAATATTTCAGCTGCAAGGGACCTACAGTGATAATATAGTCAACATCTAATCTGTTTCATCTACACAGCACTAAGAGTTACGGGAACATTATATAGGGTGTAAGTGTCGAGGTGTTGGCAGTGGGGTCTGCAGGGGCTGCCCCGTGCCAGACAGATGGTTCAGCTGGCTCTGCAGCAGACCCAGTGCAGGACAAGTCTGAGCCCATCAGCTGGCCTGGTGGCACCTCTGTGAAAACATGTTTAAGATAGGTTAAAAATGACAGGGAGAGAGAGGAGGAGGGAACAAAAAATGTAAAACAGCAGAGGTAAGTCCAAGGTCACAGGAAGAGAAGGTAGGGGTGCTTCGTGGCAGAGCAAATGTTCCCTGCTCGTGGAGAACCCATGCTGGAGCAGGAGGGAAGTATGAGAAGGAAGGAGAAGCAGAGTTGTGCATGAAGTGTGGCTTCCCATCTCCTCCTGCCTTTGCATGCTCATGGCTTTTCTGAAGGGACTAAGTTGTGGTGATATAAAACAGGAGGAGAGGAGCCTGGAGTGAAGTTGAGCCAGAAAAGGGGAGCAGAAAGCCGTTTTCCATAAGTATTTTAGTATATTTGTTTTCAGCTTCTGTATCCCAATACCAAAACCAGTACTCAAATATTTATATTAATTGTCAATAAATGAAATTACGTTCCCCAAAGTTGAGTCTGTTTGGCCCACAACAGTAACTGGTGGGTAATTTTCCTGTCTCAACCCAGGAGCTTTCTTGCTCCTATTCTTCCTGTTTTCTCCCTTGTTCCACTGGAGTGGGAGGGGGTGGGGAGTGAACCAGCAGCTGGGTGGGAGTTTGGCTGCTAGCTGAGGCCAACCTACCCCATGTTAATAAAATCATCTATTAGGGCATGCATGTGGAATCAGAAGTCAGGATGAAAAGCCAGTACATCTGGCTATCTGTATATTAAAATGTCAGTTCAAGTTGTTGAGATGTGATTGAAGAGCCTGACTTCAAAGCCCAGGGTAGCAAGACATCATGTGTCTATAAAAAGGCAGAACTACTTGCATGTCCTCCCAGCTCCTCTGCTACACCCTGTTCCGTGGGGTACGACCTCCCTCAGCTCCATTACTGTGGGCACCATAATAGGCTGGTTTCTGTCACTCAAGAGCATAAGGAACTTAAACCAAACAGAACAAAGAAATAGGCAAATGAGAACAAAAGGCAGTCAAGTCTTTACAGGAGCCTCTGTTTCTCTGCTCCTGTCTAGAAAAAGCACTAGTGGGTACCAACAGCAATTGTAGTCCTTTATGGTTTCATGTTTAGGAGTGCTTTAGCATTTGTGAGGTTTGCTGCAGTGCCCACTCCATGGGCTCAGATGAGCAGCTGTTGCTCTGTTCCTTCAGTACAGAAGGGTTGCATGAGGAATATGAAGTTTGGATGGTCAAGAAAGTGTGACTTGTTCTGGTTTTCTCCTGACAGAGATGGATGAATGTTCTCTGCCGGACAATGGTGGTTGTGAGCAGCACTGTGAGAACACACTGGGCAGTTACAAATGTACCTGTGAGCCTGGCTATGAGTTGACAGCTGATAAAAAGAGCTGTGAAGGTAAGTAACTTACAGATTGAGGCATCTGTTTATAGGATGGGTACTATGGCTAATAATGAAATTTAACAGTTTTTGGAGATGATTTTCCTTGCCTCTACATCCTCTTTGTTTCAGTTTATTTTCCGCCACCTGAAAAATTTCTTTTTGTCAACATCTTCCATTGAAAAACAAGTTTTGGTTAAAAACCTGAAAATACTCTGATTCTCTACTGCTAAACATCCCTAAAACCAGTTGTCCTTCATGGCCAGAGATTGCTGTTCAGACCAGATCTCCCACAGTACAGCACAAGGGAGTGTAGGCATTACAACCTAACCATTGAATGGCCTAAAAGTATATAAATCTAAAGCTGATTTTTCTTTTCTGAAAAAAATTTACTTTATATAATAAAATACGAATGTTTTGTCTGCATGCAAAACAGATATTCTCTATACTGAGGAGTAAATTCCCCTGCTCTGTTATGGAAGAAAAAGCCCCACACCTTCAATAGAAACTGTTTGTGTCAGCTTTCTATTTATACTGTTAATCTCATGCAACAAGTGTTTGCTCCTGCCAACAATACAGCTGTTGATGTGCTGAAAATCCATCCATTGTTCTTGTCTCATAGCTCTGCCTGTCAGCTGAGACATGAAGGGAACTCCACACCCTGTGAGTGGTGCTCTCAAAGTCATCCAGGTTGCCCTGACTTCTCCTTTTGTCAAACTGCCTGGGGAAGAGTGCTGTTGACTTGGTGAGGGCAGAGTTAGGTGTGTGCAAAAGGCTTTTGTCTTTTTTTTTTTTTTTAATAATTCCTTGCAATTTTGAGCAAACCAGTATGATGTGGTCAAGGCACTATAACTAGGGCAAACCACTATAACTTAGCAAGCGTTTTTTGAACTTCACTCTTAACCTCCTGTTTTAAACTTCATTTGTGGGATAGTCTTTAAAAATGTAGCAATATACAACAGAGTAAATTGCTTTTGTTTCTTCAGATATGCTTGCTACACTATTTATATTGAAGCTGCTCCCTTGGGTTAGTTCTCTTAATGCAAAATGGTGCTGGGAACAAGACACAGAAAGCTTTTGTCCCTGTGGGTTCTGAGGATGTGGCCATATCTCATTACTCTCAAGAAACAGCAAGAAAAAACAGGATAAAAAATGCTTCATTGCAAATAGAATTTTGCAGCAAAAGAGCAAATTGAGGTTGACTCCTTTGAGGTAAAAGCCCTGCCTCCCAAAAGAGGATGAACCTGAGATGTCCTAAATTTTTAAAGGAAATGGGATAATAAAGCTAAGTCTTTGACTTTGTAATTTATTTTCCCTAGAGAAGAAGCAGTCCACGTATAATAAGCCTCTGAAGAATTGACAGTGTCTTCCCTAGGATTCTGTTATCTTATAATTGTTCCGTTACTGATCAACTTGAAATAGTAAGGTTTGTAGCACTGAGTGTAGGTGAATTTACTGAACTGGCCTTTAAAACTGTGTTGTGCATGTCAAGTCAACTGATTCACAGTAAGCCCAAGAAGAGAGATTAAAGAGGAGATCAGTCTTATGTGGTGGCTCTCAGGGACATAGCCTAATTCTATATTTCACTGGCTAGGTGAGGTTTCTGTCTTCTTCACAGTTGCCAGCATTTTAAACCTGTTCTGGAGGCTGGGATTTGAAATGTACCACCAACCCGGATCTGATTCATCTCCTAGTGAACACTGTGGCCCAATCTGTGTGTCTGAACAGAACCAAGTAAACCTTGTGTTCATTTATTGCCTCTCCAGCTGCCTGTGGGGGCTTCATCACCAAGCTCAATGGGACCATTACTAGCCCTGGATGGCCCAAGGAATACCCTACTAACAAAAACTGCGTCTGGCAGGTGGTAGCTCCAGCCCAGTACCGGATCTCTCTGCAGTTCGAAGTGTTTGATCTGGAAGGCAATGATGTACGTAACCAGTCCCTGCATCTCAGAGGTGGGACTATTGGCTATACTCAGAACTGGATAAATCCTTGGGGTACAAGGAAGAGGAGGCTCTGTCTTACTGGTAGAGTAAGGCAGAATGACACAAATAGCAGTGATTGTTCTCCTTGAAGTCTGAATCAGCTTTCTCTATAGAGTGGAAGGATTAAAGCTGTTCTATTATAAATACGTGTAATGGTTTAACCCCATCTGGCAACTAAACACCACGCAACTGCTCACTCACTTCCCCCCAGTGGAATGGGGGAAGAATTGGAAGGGTAAAAGTGAGAAAAGCTCATGGGTTGAGATAAACAATTTAACAGATGAAGCAAAAACCACACAAGCAAGCAAAGAAAAACACTACTTCCAATGGGCAGGCGGGTGTTCAGCCATCCCCAGCAAAACAAGGCTCCATCACACGTAATGGTTACTTGGGAAGACAAACACCGTCACTCTGAATGTTCCCCCTTCCTCCTTCTTCCCCCCACTTTATATACTGAGCATGATGTCATATGGTCTGGAATATCCCTTTGGTCAGTTAGGATCAGCTGTCCTGACTGTATCCCTTCCCAACTCCTTGCACACTCCCAGCCTCCTTGCTGGTGGAATGGTATGAGAAGCAGAAAAGGCCTTGACTTGGAAGTGCTGCTCAGAAATAACAAAAACATCTTTATATTATCAACCCTGTTTTCAGCACAAATCCAAAACACATCCTCATACTAGCCATTGTGAAGAAAATTAAATCTACCCCAGCCAAAACCAGCACAATGGACTTCTTTTCTCTACCAGTTTTGCATAATTGTAGGTATTTTCCAGCCCTAATGTACCATCCCCCACTTCCCCAGTACTGCCTTTGCAGGAAAATAATTGGAAATGAACAATAAAGTAGAGTTCTTCAAGGATAAATGAAATAACCAGTAAAAGAGGCTGTTCTCTGTCCTGCCAAGGGCAGGGTGGAGTTGAACAAAGCATTCAGGTCTCATTTTCTGCACTGTAAATGGGAGCAGTGGCACTTCCTTAATTCATTGGGCTGCTGAAGTTCATTCAACACTGTCAGGCTCTTGGATAAGCTAAATTATTTTAGCTAAATTAAATGGAACCATTGCTGTTCTGATAAACACAACTATGCTTTAAAATCAGAGCAACAAGGGAAGGGATGAGAAAACTGACAAAGGAGATTTTGGGGAAGTTAGGAGTGTGTTTGAGTACAAGACTGTTTCTGTTCCTTCTCAGTGAAGCCTCTGTCCCCTTCCTCTGAAATTCTCTGTTCCAAGTCCACAGAGCTGAGAAATCTTCTCTCTTGTCAGGTCTGTAAATATGACTATGTTGAGGTTCGTAGTGAGCTGGCTTCTGACTCCAAGCTACATGGCAGATTCTGTGGCTCAGAGAAGCCCGAAGTAATCACATCCTATGGCAACAACATGAGACTGGAGTTCAAATCAGACAACACGGTCTCCAAGAAAGGCTTTAAAGTTCACTACTTCTCTGGTAGGTGGCTGTATCCTTTCACTTGCTTAGCTGTGTCTTCTGACCAAACCTCTTGGTTTTGATGAATTTTCTTCAACCTCCTGTTAGATCAGGCAGAACCTGACATGGTTACATTTAAAAGTATGGTTGCTCTGTGCTGTGTCACCTTCATCTTGGTTTCTCAGTGCAGTGTATGGTCCAGTTTCATAGTGTAGTGTCAGCAAGATGCATGGATTGCATCGATGCCTCCAGTCTTTCCACAGCAGGAAACAATGGGGAACCCAATTCTAGAAGTTATCTCTGTCCCTAGAGTCATTAAAGGAAAGCTTTTTCCTATGAAACTAGAAGATTTAGAAAATTTCCAGTAATGTTCTGTACAGCAATTATTCCCATCAAAGCAGTGTGTGCTAGTGGAAGTTCCTCATCCTCTGTTCTGAATACTTTGTGTCAGTGATGGACCTTGCTGGCAGGCAGTTCTGGAGGTTAATTGTATGTCATTTGGAAGTAGAAATTCAATTTCATGCTGTCTTTTCAGCAGAGACCAAAGAGTATTAATGATTTTTGCGGAGGATGATCAGGCAAAACAGCCTTGAATTAAGACAGGTGCAGAGTAGAATCAGGGCTAGGGGTTTGACTTATTAAATCTAACAGGAGGAATGATGAGGTCGGTATGTTTCATCTGGTAGTATGTTTGGGAGTGAGAAGACAGATGGGGTTAATGAGATCTAGGGAGGGCATTGTCCCAAGAAAAAATGGAGATAAACTGCTCATAATTTAAGTTGAACTGGAAACTACGAGCAGATCCTATGCTCAGAACAGTGAGATTGAGGACTATAGAGTCCTGAACATCCACTGGGGCATATTTCAGCTTCAGAGGGCAGCTCATACCTTAGATCTTCTTCCTATCTGGCTGTTCGTGCTTTCAGACAGAGCTATTTAAAAATAAAGGCTTATCAGGGCACAAAGGAACTTGAAAATATAAAGGCTGGCCAGTAGATTTTTGCCTAAGCTAGTGAATTTATGTGATACTTTCCCTGGACTCTATTTTAAAAGTATGAGGGACTGCTTCTTTTAGACAGAAGTCTTTAACTATTAAACTGACATTATAAAATAAAATACATTTGCGATGTATTTTATTAAATGATAGACAATTGAAGAGAATAGTATCTGGGCTAAAAAGCTGACTGGACTAATGCTATCTGCCATCCTGGGTGTGAGGTTCCCAGTTGATGACTGTGGTAGTCTGTCTCACTGTCAACTCAGTGTTTGTTGTTTTGATCCTGCCCAGACAAGGATGAATGCTCCAAAGACAATGGTGGTTGCCAGCACGAATGTATCAACACCTTTGGGAGTTATACATGCCAGTGCAGAAATGGCTTCATGCTGCATGAAAATGGCCATGACTGTAAAGAAGGTAAGGTCCCCACTTCCTGCTCTCAGAAAAGCCAAGGTACTTCAAACATGGCTTGATTCAGGGTCCTTTCTGCCCTGTGTTAGCAGGAAGTTTGTACAATGTACTAGACTGGGGCACCAAAAAAGCCCCAACTAGCTGAAAAACTGCCCAAGAAAAAGGGGTAGGGGGCTGACCCATTCCTTAGTCTTGCCCTCTGTATCACCGTAGGGGAGACAGGGTGGGAATAAGAAGTTGGGCTAGCAAAAGGAGCAGTTGTGGGACATCACCATTAGACTGGTCACTGCTGCTTCATTTAATTATTGTGTTTGAGTCAGAAGAAAAAGGATGGGCTGATCTAACCATTTGCTGATGCCAAAATTACCTTTCTTCCTGCACCACTACCCCTGCTCTGTGCTGCCATGGCCCTTCTGTGTATTGTCTCCAGTCCTTGTCTGATCTCTCTATGAGCTGATTCAGCTTTCCAAGTTGGCAAAACAGTGTGAGGCTGAGATAGCACCAGAGTCAACACAGTGGAGGGGATGACATCATCGCCCTGGGAGCAGGGCAGATGAGATGGAGGAGCAGGAGAATAATTAGGGAGTGAGGATGTAAATGAGGTCAATGAGGCCCAGGGGAATGAGATGGTCCATTTCACCAGCTGCCAGGTTAGCTCAAAAAAGTATAGGACAAACCCACCAGAACTATGCAGTAATACTATAAGGTCTTGTTTGTTGACTGAAGCCTTCCCTATCTCTGCCCTGTTGAGGGGTCTCAGTGGGCAGAGAGGAGCATGTAGGACAGTAGAGGGTTCCCACGTGAGACTTGCCTCAATGTGCTCTCTCTCTCTCTTTCAAGCTGGTTGTGAGCACAAGCTGAGTGGTGCGGAGGGAATGATGAGCAGTCCCAACTGGCCTGACAAGTACCCCAGCCGGAAAGAGTGCACCTGGGACATCTCTGCAACACCTGGCCACCGAGTGAAAGTGGTGAGTAACCAGAGAGTGGGACTGTGAGTGGAGAAGCAGGCTGGGTTGTGAGGAGCTCAAGTGACTTCCCACCACCACTGTGTGAGCAGGAGGTTGATGCCTACAGGTCCTGTCTGGGGCTCTTGGAGGAGAGTGTTGTGGGAGGCTGCCCTGGCTTGCAAAAGGGCAGAAGATCTCAAGAGAGACACCAGGAGGGGAGAGGCAGCTTAGAGGATACTCCAGCAGATGACAACTGTGGAGTATTGCCCTCCATTTACAGGCAATAACATGCCCTCCCACTCCTACCTCTCCTTGTGAACCACTTTGTTGGGATGGTATGTAAATAAGGTAGTGGCTGAGCTGGTCCCCAGCCCCTCTGAGGAGCGGGCATCAGGGCCATTTTACAACATGGCCTTATGGAAATAACAGGACATGCCCAAATCTGTGCAGATGGTCCAGGCACTGGGGGAAATAATCCCTGTGCTCAGTGGAAGTAATATTGAAGAACAGCCCATTTGGTGTGCTGGGCAGGGTTCCCAGTGGAAAAAAATAAATGCTTATAAGGCTTGCAGTTGATAACTTGTCATGCACCTATGTGAGGCAGCAAAGCTAAGGCAACATGGCACAATGGTATGGAATTCTGAGCTCTGCCACCCTGAGATCATTCTTGTCTGAAAGCACACTGTTCTGTGGGAGGAGTGGGACAGATGCACTGTTTGATCTGTTTCTCACTTGGCATTTCATCCTCTGCTAAATCGCATACTCAGATTTACAGATGTCTGTCTTAATTCTCCATATTCTTGCTGTAGACCTTCAATGAATTTGAGATTGAACAGCACCAAGAGTGTGCCTATGACCACTTAGAAATGTATGATGGACCTAACAGCAAGTCACCTATCCTTGGCCGCTTCTGTGGCAGCAAGAAACCAGACCCTGTAGTGGCTTCTACCAACAAGATGTTCCTCAGGTTTTATTCTGATGCTTCTGTGCAAAGGAGAGGTTTCCAGGCAAAGCACAGCACAGGTAAGCTGGTTGTCTGCCAATACTGCAGTGCCATAAGATATCATCAAGTCTCACTGCATTTTTTTACTAGGCAAAACCAAACACACTTTTCTCCCAAATAGGCTTAGCCCAAACTTTAACTGGTTGTATATTCAGTTCCCAGACCATTGCTGCCACAATACCAAAATACCAGTTTCCACAACAACTCAGAGGTCTCCTGGTATTGGACATTCCTGCTCATGCTCTTTTGTTTAAATTGGAGGTGTTTGATTCAGCAACAATCCCTTCTGTTCCACATCACCCATCGGAAAAGGGGGTGGTGCAGTTTAGTCCACCTACTGGCCCACACACAAAACAGGCCCACATTAGATTGATTATGGTAGAAGCAGAGCTGTGCTGTGGACACACAGCTTGATCCTCTTATCTGTGGCAGCCCAGAGGTGGGCGTGTTGTACCAACATTCACTTCTTTGAAATCCCTGCCACTGTAAACAGGTGAAACGTGCTCTGAGTGGCAGTGCATGAGAGACTGGTGAAGAGGCATCTTCCTCATTGGCTGCAGAAAACTCTTTGTTAAAGTATACCCCTTCTGCACAAACACAGGGCTACTTTTGTGTATTGTGTGGGCAGAAAAGGATTGTTTTGCTCCCCAGTTTTTTGATGCGCTTCAACTTCCTGCTGACAAAATACTTGGGGTCAGAATTTCAGCTACAGGACAAGTGCAAAGAACAAAGCAGTTGCTTTCTAAAACAATACATTTTCCCAGAATATAATGTGTCAAGAACCCCATCCTGCCAGTTTAAACTGGTCACCTCTTTCCATGCGTGTTCTGTACCAAAAGAACCAAGCTCCTTTTAGCTTTGTGGGTCTATGGATTCATGGGTGACTGGAGAATTCACTGTTTTATGGTAGTTTGGTGCAGTGTTTAATTACCTTCCCTACTGTACTTCAAGCTGGAGGTCTTCTCTGCTCATGACCGGCCCAAAAGTGGGATGAGTTTTTCTTATGAGGTAAGGCCTTTGAGAGACTGTTTTGTGCCCTTTTCTTCCTTCAGAGTGTGGTGGGCTCTTAAAGGCTGAAGTACGAACTAAGGAGCTATATTCCCATGCTCAGTTTGGGGACAACAACTACCCAGGTCAAGCCGACTGTGAATGGGTGATTGTAGCTGAAGATGGTTATGGGGTGGAGCTAATATTCCAGATATTCGAGATTGAGGAGGAGGCTGACTGTGGGTACGACTACATGGAGATTTATGATGGTTACGACAGCACTGCACCCCGTCTGGGACGCTTCTGTGGCTCAGGGGTAAGCCATGATGGTGGTGATTTCTTAGGGATCACTGGGGGTGGCAAAGAAAAATACTGTCATACGATTTCTGGAGAGGGGCAGCTGTCACAAACTGGTAATGAGAATGCTTTTTGACTGGGTTTTGCTTCTTCCCCTTTGGCTGGAGATCACAGCCATTTTATCTGATGCACAGAGTTGGCTGGAAAATGGTACTGACGGACGGTCCCTTTTTAGCCCAGGGCCATGTACAGCAGCACAAGACTGCTGCACTGCTGTGCCCCAGCTCTGCCAAAAAAGTGATGTGTAAATGTGAGAAACAGCTTCCAAAGGGCAGTTTCATTCTCAGTCACTTGCTGCCTGAAGCCAGGTTACGTTGTGGCCATGCTATGCCAAGGGCGAACAGCGGAGGGACTTACAGAGCTGCTTGTTGACTCTAGAATGGCATTGCTGTCTCCTAAACTGTTACCTGCAACCCCATTAACAGGAGTGACTCTAGCATGAGTGATGGTGTGTGGTTTTTAAAATCAGAGGGTCTGTGTTTGATTTCTCTAGGACTTCAGGAATGAAATGGAGAAGGTTCTTATTGAATTTAAAGAGAGACAGTCAGGGAGTAGGTATGGAAGAAGTCCTCACAAACTGGGGAAATGGTCTGGAATATAAACAAAGGCATAGCAGCTGAGTTTGAAAAAGTTCAGGGCAGCAGAGTAGTAATGTACCTACCTGCACACTGACAAATGAAGAATGGCTGGGAAAGTGTTGGTCCTGCAGAGAAGCACAGGGACATTGTAGCAGCTCACAACAGTGTGGGAGATAACCAGAGTTGTCATGAAATATAAGTACCTAAGTTGTTTTGCTGCTAATGAACCCTGGGAGAGCCTCAGCTGCCAAACAGGGTCCAGTTTGTATTGTGTCATTTCCTGAAAAGATAATGGCAAATTAGAGTAAACCTGAAAACTGGAACAAGAATATCCAGAAAGTCCTGTGAAAAAAATAATTGGAAGAACTGGGATTGTAGATTGGACTGGCATCAGTCAAGGAAAATATGCATAGGAAGGCAGATCAGGGCAGGAGGTACTGAGCGCTCAGTCTTCACAATTACTGGCCAATCCATGTTCACTGTGAGCTTAAACTCTATCATCATAGTGCAGACAGTTATTTAGTCTGTAGACTTGACCACTATGTACTGTCTTCTTTCCTTTTCTGCAGCCTCTGGAAGAAATCTACTCTGCAGGGGATTCCATCATGATTCGATTCCACACAGATGACACCATCAACAAGAAAGGCTTTCATGCCCGATACATAAGTACCAAATTTCAGGATGCATTGCACATGAGAAAGTAGTTTGACTGCTCCTCACAGACATTCCCCATATGAAGATTGAGACATTTAACTGTGATCTTTGTCCTTTTTTTTTTAAAGCTTCTGTGCACCTGGCCAAAAGCAGTGTACAGTATTTTCTGTAACTAAAACTAAATCCAGTCTCAAAGGTTTGCCTCTGCAACTATTAGCATGACCCTTTCTTGTTAACATACCCAGGACCAAAAAATTGTCTTCTAATCATACCTACCAGGGCATAAACATTGTATTTTGCACAACTTGCCATGAGGCTGAGTAAGACTGAACTTGAATTGAGAAAAGCCTTCGTCTCTTGCATATCTTGTTTCTAGGTGATAATTCCCAAGCACCCACATGAGCTGTCTGAACATATTTTCTGGTGCAGGTGATGTGGACAGATACCCAGTAGGATTTCTTCAAAGGACTTTTTGAGCCACCCACTTTCCCCTACCAGCCCAAAATACTCTGTGCAATAAGAGAACAACCCGATGGCTGGACATCCATCACTCCTTCTGTCCCTTCTATTTATTGTCTTGCTTATTGTTGAGTGGAGAGCAAGGCGGGGGACAGGGACAGTCTTTTTAGGGCTGCTAGCTACTTGGATCCCAGTAAATGAGACAGGCCCAGTGTCTGATTAGTGGTAATTGTCATGATGTACATTGAATGGAGATACTTCGGTCGATGCAGTGCCCAAGGGAAAGGTGGTGGCTGATATGGCAATGCTGTGGTGGAATGCAAAACATGACTCTGTGATGGTGGCAAAGCTTAGTAACAGGAACGCTGAGAGTATGCTCCAGTTACACCACCAGGGAAGGCAGCTCAGAGAGCTGTGGCAGCAGTCCAGGCCTTATCTTAAATAAGGGATCTCTCTCCTCCTCACTCCACCCACGCCTGCTTTCTCAGCCTTCTTTTCACTGCTTCCTTTGCTTACTACCATTTCCCTGTGAACCCTTCCTTTTCACGGCTGAGCTGCTCTCCCCAGGGCTGCCCACCAACACGTAGGAGTGCTCTGCAACATCAGCTAGCTGGAGCATGTCACTGAAGGGAATGCTGGGGCAGAGGGAGCCTGCGTGTCCTAGAGGCAGAGGGACACAGGCCATGCTACGGGTCAGCTCTGGTGAGCTGTGGGAACCTGTCAAACATATGCAACCTGCAGGCATGGGACTAGGAACAGAAGAGCTCTTCTGGTTTCTGCTTCCTCCTCGTTCCTCACCGGTGCATGGCCCAGTCTCTTAATTTCATGGCAAGGGTGCAAGTGAGATGGTGACTTAGAGCACTTTGGGTTATAAGGTTCAGACATGCTCTTGTTTGCTCATGGAAGCTACTACAGGCTTGAAGAATTAACACTTCTTTGGGAAAAAAGTAGGGAAAACTGCGCTTTTGGGGGAACCACCGTAATTGAACTATTGATATGGGAGTTAAAAAAAGACTTTATTTTGAATGTTTCATTAAGGCACTCATGGGCAATTATGAGCTAAAAGCTGAGGTGTGTTAGCTTTAATAAAGTATTTATAATCCAAGGATTACTATGTTTACATAACCAATGTGCTGTCAGGCTCCGAGATGACACCTCCTCTCTGGTGTACGGCTGTGGAGAAGTATGGGGCCAACGCCACTGTCAGGCACAAATGACATTCCTGGAGATTAGGGCATTTTCAGATGGATAATAAATAGACCCAGCCCTCTCCAGAAATCCTTGAACAGGATATGGTCCAAGTATTGTGAATACTGGGAGAAGCAAATGCATGAAAATATTTTCTTGCTTAGAACAAGAAAAGTAAAGTAATTTATACACACACACGGAAGATTATATGTATATAAAATGTGCATGTAGAAGACCAGTAGTCAAAGCCTTAATAAATGTAAAGTGAACAATACTGTACCACTGACTATAGCTTTATTGCAGGCTGTATAAAATCACGTTATCTCTGTTTTGGTTTTGGTTTTTTGTTTGTGTTTTGGGGTTTTTTTAGCTCTGCTTTGTTTCTTTTTTTCAAATTTTGAGGCTTTCTTACAGGCAAGACCTCTGATCTCAAGCTGTTTGACCATGCAGGTCTGGGGAAGTGAGCACTGCTAGACGAGGTGTGTGTTTGTCCTTCTTTTCCTTGCTCCAGTTCAAGCAAAATTACAATGAAATTGTAATGGAAATGGTCTGGAAATAAAATGTGACATCAGTGCCTCTGAAACAGAAGCAAAGTTTCAGGTGGCAAGCAGCAGTTCAAGTTTCCTGACCCCGTAGTGGCAGCAATGGCTCTAGGGAAAAGTGACTGTAGCAGCTGTAGACGTGTACTTTAACATCTCTGTTCATTGTTCTGGTAATTTCCCATCCACCCCAGACTGGTTTGTTTCAGATGCTTGCAATGTGGTTTGACAGATGTACTAGACTCATTAGCATTCATCCAGGTGTCTCTTGTGACAGTGTGCTCGCAACTGTTGTACTGTGCATTTCAACCAATGATCTATGTAGAATATTTCTGCTGTACTGACTGGACCTAGCAGTCGATAATTCTAAACGTGTGAAATTTTCTTAAGGAAAAAAAAAATGTCAGACCCTCTGATGTGTGTGTATGTATTCTGGTCTTTGTGTGGTTTTTACATTTCACTAACTAAAATAATTTTTTAGAGGGGAAGGAGAGGAGGGTGTGGGGGCAATCATAAATGTACCTGTGCCCAGAACAAGTGAGTGAGTCTCTGTATTCATTAAAGACTGTGGATTCAGTTGCACATTGTGTTGTATGCATGCATTTTCCACTTCTTCAAGGAGAGGAAATTTGTTACTATATTCCTTGTTCTGCCAACTGTTGTTTGTGTCTTCTGCTAATACCAGGTGGGATTTACTCTCTGCAGGAAGTGCTTTCCTGTGAGCCTTTAGGCTTGTCTTGCTTTTGCAATCAAGAGAGCATTAGTAAGTGGGGCAGAAAAACAAGTTGTTCAGCCAAAGAGCTACATCGTTGTTTCGTGTTCCGCACTCACGCTTTAGTGGGCTGAGACGCAGATCTGCAGTGATAAACATCAGGGATCTGGTAATTAGTCCATAAGTATCCCTCAAAGGATGAGGCTCATTTGCTACACTACAGGCTATGGCCTTCATCAGAAGGTCCCAAAGACAAGAGACATGAAACTCCTGTGCAAAGGACAGCAGGATAAGCATGAGGCAGATGTTCCTTATTGCAGAGTTGTGGTCCATGCACCATGGCAGCCAAATGCCGATAGGTAGAACCTAAAATGCTTTTCTTCCTCTTTCTGTCTAGTGCTTGATGGCTACCCTGCTTGCTAAGAGCCATGTCTGTGTTCTTTCCCCAACACATACCTAGTTCATCTGTGTCCTACCACCTAGAAAATTTCCTGTTGTGTGTCAAAGCTACCCAAACCTTCATGGTGACTGAATTTCCTCCCAGCTGTTCCCAAAGGCAAAGCAGCAACGGATATGAAGTAAGGAATATGCATCCCCACGTAGCCTCCTGCATCAGAGTACCATGGCACAGTATGACCCTGGAATGAACCTAGAGGCTGACAGTCAAGACAGTAGGTAGACATGATTTCCAAAATGACACCCATGAGTCTTCAGTCACACAGATAGTTACAGAGCAAAGCAATGTTGAAACATTAGAAATGATGCAGCCCAAGTGAAGCTGGTAGGAAATGGGAGGTAAAATAGAAGGTGGGATATGAACTGGAGTCATAACTGTTAAAGAAACACACAGACACTTGCGGTTACAGCGAGTTAGGTTCTTACTGTGTGCATGATCTATCTATTGCGTCTGTAAAGATCTTTTGCAGGTTTGTAGTTTCTCTACTGTTCAACTATTATGTTCCCTTAACATCTTTTTCCACACTGTCTGCCACCAGTGCTGTGACAGGGCCAGTCTCTTTTTTCTCTACTTACTTATAGAAACAGGACTTAATTTTCCAGAAAGTGCCCAAAGACCATCCAGTCACTGTGTGTGAGTTGAAAAAGGGCATATCCATTGTCTGCTAGAAGATTCTTCATCCTTTAAAAACACAAGTACCCAGTGACACAACTCACTTCAGACAAAGAACGATGCCTCAGACCAGACAGGCTTGTTGGTCTCAGCATTAAGCCAGCAGAAATCCTTCACTTTGTTCTGACATTTCCAGCAGGTGCTCTGGCAGACGAGGTGCTAGCCTTAGAAACCAAAAGCAGGATTCCCCTCAAGCTGATCTGTGGCTCACCCTAAGCACACTCTTGGAGCCAGGAGCTCTTATTTGCCGTGTATCTGGCAGAGAAGAGGTGGAGTCTCCAGTGCCCTGAAGCCCAGCTTCCCAGGTACATACCAGACCCTGCCCCTGGCAGGGACCTGGCTCTGTCAGGTGTGCTGGGACCCAGCCAGGTTGTCTGAGTCAGCCCAAGAGAAATGCCATCATCTCTTCCTCTTTGCAGGTCCACAGTTTGTGTATTAGGAGGAAGAGAAACTCATCTTAAAACGAGTGCTAACCCTAGCATTGGGCAGTCTGCTGTTACTGCATGCAGGGACTTCTCGGGGAGAAGAGCAAAATGGTGAGTAGGAGTTGGTTGGCTTTGTTTGGATGGAAGCAGTGAGAGGACGAGGACGTCAGAGAGCAGAAGAGGTGAGGCCACTGAACTGGTTATCTATCGGTTGAAAAGCTCCCTGGGGTGTTTAACCCTCCCATTCTCTGCCCTGACCAGATCAGTCAAGCTGATTGTTTGCTGTGCATTTCCTTATGGTGCAACAGATAGGTTCAGATATCTGCTTGGATTTTAACATCTGCCCCAGCTTTTCTGTCCTGGAGGTATTGCCTGGTCTTAGGACAGTTGGAGCAAAGAGGAGACTGATGCCCTGGATCATGAAGTGGACCCTTCAGGAGATTTCTTGTCCTGGGAGCTGAAACACACTGGTATCTGTTTAAAAATGGCCAGGTGAGAGTGGCTGAGAGTAAAACCTCCCTTCTCCCAGCAGCTAGCTGACTCTGGGCTAAAGCAACATTCTCCTCTGAAATGTAATAATGAACTAATTCCATGAGCATTCACTGATCAACAGAAGACTTATGGGAGTGCAGCACAAAGTTACTTGTTAATGGCATACAAACAGAAATAATATATTAATGGCTTTGATCTCTCTAACCTCTGCTGGTCTTCTCTCACTTCCCCCTGTTGGTCCCCTTGGGATCTCCCTTTGTCTCTCTTCCTCAGCCCTACCCAGTGAATGGCCTGTGCCAGCTCCATACAAGAACTGGTGAGTTGTTACCCATGGAGCTGTATAGGCACCAAAGAGGGAGTGGTCCCTGCCCATCAGCAATCACAGTCTGAGCAAGTGCAAGAAAAGCTAGGGGAAAGGGAGTATTATCTGTATGTTGGACAGTTGACGCTGAGAGGTGGAAGCATCTGTGTTAAAACTGAGATGTAAATCCAGAGCACCTGATCTTCGGGTGTGTGTTAATTGTATTCATCCAACTCCCCTCCCTTCCGTGAGAGGCTCTCTGCACTGAGATGCAGGGTCCCAGTGATGTGGACTTGGCTGGGGAAGAGGCCTGTCTCCTTGTGGTCTCTCCTTCTCTTTCCAGGTCTGCAGGATGCTATGAGTTACTGAATGGCAAGAAGGGAGAGGGAAGGGTTGCAATGTTTAGGTTTTCCCTCAGCTGCAGTAAAAGGTTTTCTCTCACCCAAGATGTGCTCTTGGCAGGCAGTCAATGCTGTCGGGAAACCTACCTGACTCATATCAGAGTAACTGGTACTCAGAACCCCTTAAAAGTTACTGGAGTAGTGAGGGCAATCTGTGAGCAAAAGCAGGAGCAGTGCAGGAATAGAAAGATCTCACAATATTTAATTACATTCACTTTACATTTAGAAATTTCAGAGCAATGGTCAGGAGTTTTAATCAGGAGGATTAGAAGCATCCTCTGCTTTCTTTTTTTAAGTAACTAAATTGGAGGTCAATCGTAATCTTCATGTCTCTCCTGATGAGGCTAAATACAAACTTGTTTACTGATCCATTTTTGCAAGTAACTTGAGACACTGGCTTTAAACCATGGGACAACTGAAAGAAACAGCCTATTTTTCAGTGTCTTGCTATGGCTTTCTGTATTTGCTTGCTAGCAGGTTAGACACTTCAGTTTCCAAATACGAAGTCTTAGGATATCCCAAATCTTGAATTTTGTAATTCAAGTCAGAAGAGAGCACAAATACCCACTGCCCTGCAAGTCACCTGTAGGAGATTTAAGGGCAGAACTAGGTTTTTCCTTTAAGTAAGAAGTTATATGGTCTATCTTCTTGTGTCCCACCTTAAGAAACTAAGTATTTAACCCTGGTGACAGAATAAGCTAGGAAAAACATTTCTTCTCAAATCAAGGGCTACCAATCAAGTTATTGTGAGTAGCAGACCTATTCCATTGCATACACAAATGTAGTTTCACAAAGAACTTGACCTGAGAAAGGTGACCATATGTAAATATATTATTGATGTGGCTCCTTCTGTTCAAACTTTCACTTAACTTGCACGCACAGCCCTAGAAATAATAATGAAGTTCATTAAGTGCACTGTCTTTAGCCAAGAAGAAAGAAATAAATCTACAGTTTCAGAGAAGGGGCAGGTATGAAAATCCAAGCTCAAATTAACAAATCAGCTATTCACAAAGCTGTGGTTTAGTGAGTAAGTCCAAGGAAGGCACAGTATGAAATCTGGGTGAGAAATGTCTGCTATATTTCATTCCCAGTTGGCAGCCTGGATGCAGCAGTACCTGTACCTCTAAGCAGAATTTGAAAGAGATCCTTTTCACTCAGTGGCCGATTGCTAGCTGTGTCTGCATGCCAAAAGGCATTTCACAACATCTGCAGTCCCGTAGCTAAGCTGTTCAAAGGTTAAACTTCCAGTACAGTGTTCATTGTTTGCATATAAAGGCCGCATTTCTAAACAAATCTCCAGCTGGTATCTGTAATGGGAGGATAAATTCTGGATCTTTTGGTAATCTCACCCCCTCTTTGACTTTGTAGTGGATTACGGTCCTCAACACGTAGTGCTGTGCCCTGCTCCTAGACTACAGAACTTGGACTGATCCAAATCTCTCATGACTCACTTGCATCTTGAGCCTTCCTTCTCCACAACCTGCTGTTGACAAGCTTTCACTGCACTGACCTCCTACTTTGAAGAACCAGGCTCTCCCTCCTCAGTGCATGGCAACAGAACTTCTGCAGGCAGAAAAAGGACAGCTTTCTGCCAGCTCCCTCTCTGCTGGCTTTTTGTGGATGTAAACCAAAGCTCATTTGTCCTTTTCCTGACGCTTTGCAGAGCACCAGTCTCAGCTGCAAGGGAGACCTCAGCAGCTTTGCTCTTTCTCTGGTTTATTTAATTCTTACACGTTTCTGGGACTGACTGGTGTTCTCACGTAAGTGTCTTAAAGGAGCTGTTTCATACAGAAGTGCATATTAATTGCCCCTGGATTATAGGAGAGGCTCCTGCAACTGCTTGTCCCGATAATCCATGTCTGAAGCTAAGCTTCTTCTCAGTACTATTCTCATCACTAGCACTGGTCCCTGCAGGCAGCCTCAGCTGCCCATAGAGCTCCCCATATAATGTGCCCAGTATTGCTTCCAGCAGTAATGCTGCACCAGCAAAAGAGGCTAAGAGCAGCTTTCAACTGTCTCCAAGCGTCTTTTATATTCCTCCCAGATGGCAGAGTCTCTATATCCCATCTAACTGACAGACAGCACATTTAACAGAGATTCTTCTGAATACTTCCCTTCCTATGTGTGGGAACAATCTGGTCAGCAAGGAGTTAATATGTTTCTGTCGTTTTCATCTGTCCTTGAATCTACAGAAGCAGGCACATGAGATTAGTTTGCGACTCAAAGGTTGCAGGTGCAAGTCCTTGCTGGTTTACAAGCTACTGTTGTACTCCAGCTCCCAAACTGCAGTGGGGTTACACAGCCTTACCCTTTCTCACTTGGGAGCTGTTGGCATAAATGCCAGTGTAATTAAACAATAAGGCCCCTGACTACTCAGAAGCCTTACATGGTATAAACAATTCAGGCAAACCAGTTCATGTTTCCTCATATCTTCAACAGCATGACAGAGTTTTTGTTTTCTCTGGAGTAACTAGCATGCCTGCCCTGTTCTGCTCAAATTACTATATTCTCATGTTATCATTTCCAGTCACTTCAGAAGCACCCCTCCCCATTCCATACCTGGCAGAAGCATCTCCCAATTGCTAATATTCAGTTCTGATTTTCTTTTTTTTTTTTTCGTTTGGTTTGGTTTGCTTTTGTTGTTTGCTTTGGTTTGTTTTGTTTGGGGGTTTTGTTTGGTTTTGTTTTATTTCTCTACAGGAGACATCAGAGTCATTCTCATGGTTTTACAATCCAACAGTAAATTTGGTAAATACACTCCTTAGGGTGAAGATCAGCTAGCTGCACACAATCACATTATCTGTAGGAGCTGGGGGGTGGAATTCTGGAAGAGAAATTTCTGCTTTTATGAGTGAGTGTTGATGTGGATCTTCTGATAGACTGTCCTAATGATGCTGATGGTATTTTGTAGCAATAAAGAAAGGTGAGAGTCTTAAAGTCCCCAGATTCCTGCATTTGTGCCTGTTTTCCTGTTTATTTAAAAATTATCAAATCCAGCTAGAAGTTATTTTGCTAAGCCTGTAATGCAACAGAACTTCTTTCCTGCTCCTTTTGCCAAAGAGAATGTGTGTGTTGTTTCAGATTTCATTTCTGTTTTCTCACAGTGAGAGAGGGGATGGTGAGGGGAGCAGGACACCAGCCATCACAGCAGTTACCAGACGGTCCTTTACATGTCCTGACACTCAATTAAGATACATGTCATAGCCAATTCTTTGGTAAAAGACACAAGGTTCTTCTCTCTCCACCAAAAGTTGTGGGCCTGCAAAGAACTGGTATTTCTAATCCTACCTTCCTGCTTGCTATATTGTGAAATGTAGTCTCTGTTCTGATGCACAGACCCTTTCTGGTTTTGCATCCTCCCAGTCAGGGTTCAATGGCATTTCACTGCTTTGTTATCCAGCCAGGAATCAGTGGGTTGCTTTTTTCTGCTGAATCATAGTCATTGTGTACAATCAGTCCAGTCACAGCCTGCCCCAGAATGGGGAAAGGCAATTTTCTGACTGCTGAGTTGCTGAAAGATGACTGTAGATGTGGGTATTGATCATGGCTATTCTTTGTTAAACAGAGCATCTGTTATCTGCAGGGTCCAGAGAAGACCCATCTGGCCTGTGGCCTTTGAGGAGACATGTTCAGCTCTCAACCTCTGGCCTGTTCCCAGAGCCCTCTCCCCAGGGCTGTCTGAGGTGGATGCTGGGTCCTGCAGCTCTCAGCTGTAGCAATATCAGCTTGAGATGGTGGGTCAGTCTGGGAGAGGGGAGAAGAGAGGCACCTGCTGTCATCACTGCCTGTGTGGTGGACTTTTTGCTGGAGCTGCCTCATAATTTGGAGCTGAGTGTGACATTTTGCAATGGGTAGAAAATGCCAGAGGGTTTTGTGTTTGGGCACACGAGGTTTGCTAGAGCCCTGCACATGCATCTAGGCAAGGCTGTGCAGGCAGCTGCCTCCAGTGCCATGGGAAGGACAGAGAGCAGACTGTTACAAACACAAATCTTTTCTGGGGCTTCCCACTCCCCTTTGTGCTGCTTTTCCTTCTGAGTCCAACTTTCTCTGGGATATATTTGTACTTATCTCTTGTACAGGCTTTGTACATGCTTTTTTTCAACCTCAGGCCCCTTTTTGAGGAAAAACATATATTCCTTCCCTTCAGCCAGGGACATTGTTGGAAGGAGCAGAATTTGGGTTCTTGCTTATGACTGGCAAGTACAGGCCATGACCTTGGAGTGTAGCTGGGTGCTCCATGTGTTACTGACCATGTTACAACATGCTGTTGTTAGAGTCTTGCAGCTGCTCACTCTCCCCTTGCTTGCTTTGTATGAAACACTCTTTTGTATATGTTCTATAACCATGTATTTCTAGACTTCTGCGCAGACATCTGGAAATGCAACTGTCCAGCCAGATTGCTCTTCTGGGGTAAGAGTATATTTCATTTTTTAATGCAATTGATTACATGGAATTTTTTCCCTCTGCAATCAAACCTCTGCTTCCCCTGTCCACCCCAGTTCACAGTACAGCTGGGCTGGAAGCTACTGTTTTGATCCAGGGCTTCAGGTTTATTCCTCATATTGGCTTTTCTTGTTGTTTTATGGTAGCCGCTCGCTTGGCTACTAACTCTGTTGTAAAGGACCACACTGCATGCATTTGACTGGGCTATCTTTCTTTGTAAGTTAGTATGAACCATGGGTGGTTGGAGTAGCCACAGGAATACCCAGCATTCTGGCCTTGGTCCTTGCTGTCATCTTGGCAGTGGTCTGTATTCTCCAGTGGAAGAACTACAGCTGGAATCAGGTGACTACCTTCCATCTCCTGGGTGTCTTGCTGCTTCTAAGCCTAGATCTCCATATCAGAAACCTGATTCAACACCCTTTTCAGCTCTTGGGAAGTTCAGGACCACATCTCTTGACTCTCCAATTGTCTCTGCTCTGTCTCTCAAAGGCTGGACCTCAGCCTAGAATTTGAAGGGTTCATAAGGATAAAAGAGAAATTCACATTCAAATACTGAAAGGGCACTGCCAAGTGGTCTGTTCAAATAACAGGAAATTAAAAAACCACAAACTATCACCATTGTTCTTCAGTGGATTTCTCTCTCATTTCCTACAGGAAATCATCCTCTCACTACAAATGGTGTTAGTTGGCTCCAGAAACATTGCCAAGGTGTTTTGTAGTATGTTTAGTTTGATCACTTGGTTCCTCTGTTTGAGCCCATGGGGTGGGTCTTCATGCTCTGCCTACATCCCCAGTGCTGGGGTTTCCAGAGTTAGGAGTTTCTGTAGCATCATGTTTTTTCCTCTGAGGTGAAAAAATCATCTGCACCACCAAAGAGACAGTCAACCTGCCCACAGAGGAAGAATACTGTGAAGCATTCTGACAGACAGACATTGACAGTTCCACTTAAAAGGTCTCTTTTCTTTCCCTACCAGTTTACAGATGGTTTTGACCAGCTTTTTTTGCATTGTTGGATCTTTGTTTTCTTGCTTTAGCAAGTAAGGTAACAATACTGAGGGTCAACATCTTTCCCTTTCCTTCTTTTTCTTTTTTCTCTCCTCTCTTCTCCTCTCAAGTTTAAATGTGAAAGCAAAGGTTTTCCCCTATGTTAAAAGACCAGATAGATTTTGGATGTTCTAATGAGGGCAAGAGTCAGGCATTGATGTTTCCCCTTTGCAAGGTCATTCTCATGGGCAGGTGTCAAGTGGACCCTATGATTGTTCCAAATGAAGGAGTGTTTTGGCATCCAGCTTAAAATATGTTGGATATTATACCAAATATTATCCCCTGTGTGGTTATTTATCCCCCGAGTACATCCTGCGTTCTGGAGCTGTTTACTAACAGAACATTTTCTCACTGCCCTGTGCTTCTCATGCAGTTGTTTGTGACTTGTTGATAGATGTTGTTTGTCACTGTTTTGTTCATTGCTTCAGACGAATCAACATCCTAGACGGCAGGAAGGACATGAATATGAATCATCCCCTCCCAGACCTCCAGAGGTAAGCCATCTATTAATCTGTCAACATAGCACACATGCTGCTGAGTTACTGATCACAGGACTGGCTTTAAGGGTAGCCCTAGACTAATAGAAAGCTCGTCATAACCTCCTCCCCATGCTTGCCTGTGTCTCCTACATGACTGCATGTCTCTACATTTGATGCAATCCCATATGAGAGGTCAGCAATGGTTTGCCATTGTTTTAGAGTACACAGGCATTAGCACTGCAGCCTTCATGGGCAAAAAACAGAGGGAGAAGGAGGGATGGACCTGACGTAGGCAGATAGGATATTTCCTTCAAAATAATACTAAACATTTTCAAAGGGAGGTGGGAATTCTTGCATACTGTATTCTCTGCAGTACTCACTTGGTTTTCGAGTACCTTGTGACAACCAATCAAATTATATTTTGCTTCTAGGACTTTTATATGACCATGATGCAGGGGATAACAAGTATCTATGTAAATGAAGATCAAGACAAACACCTCAAACTGAACATCCAGACGCAACCAAGGCCCATGAGAGGGCCCAGAAGAGAGTCGCCTGTGGTGGAATATTTTTATGAAAACCATCCAGTCTCCAAATGAAAGAAAAGCACCAAATTGTATCTGGGGCCAGAAATAACAACCAGAAATAACAACAAGACACAACCCTTTTCCTGGACACCAGGGGTCACACGGTTGCAGATTATGAACAAGAGACTTTTCTCTTTGAGCCTACATGAAATTCTATAGAGACCAAGACTAAAAGCAATTGGATGGAGAAAGAACTTGTTTGCAATCGTGCCTCTGAGATGTAGAAGCAAAATCAGATTCCATTGGAGTACCCCAAGTTCTCTGAAAGACACGGTTTTGCTGTTCTCCTACATTAATTCATTTTAATAAAGAACATCTAAATCCATGCAGTGATACTGATGGTAGAAAAGAGCAGCCAGAGAGTTGGTTGCAGTCCCAGGTAACTGAGTTCCTTTGCATCAACCTTCAAAAAACAGGAATGCATTCTTTTCATTTAGCAGAAAGCCCTCAGGCTGCAGAACCCCCTTCCCCTCCAACACCATGAGCCTTCCTGACTGGTGGTCTGTTGCAACTGCTCAGATCCTTGCAGGCAGCAGCAGTGAGCGCAGTGGATGAAGAAGGAAGGACCCTTGCCTGGGAGGAACAGCCCCTCCCACAGGGTGCTGGCCACAGGCACTGCAGACCTACTCTGCAGTGTAGCAGCAGATGTGGGCACTGCCCCAACCCAAATTAAATAACAGCTCAAATGCTCATAAATAGATTTTTCTTTATTGGCTTGTTAATGTACACACAGGCAGCGCTATCCATCTCTTGGTGGGACATGGGCTGCAGGAGCAGCCATGGGATCTGTGTTTGTGAGAAAAGCAGCTGATTGATGCAGCCACTGTGCTCAATGATCCCGTGACAGAGTGTCAGTGCAAGGGGCTGCAATGTCACCCAGAGCCTCCTGTGATGGGGTGGAGTTCTGGGAGGCTTCAAAGCTGTCTACTCTGTGCATATATCTATGTTTGGACTGCCTTCCTGGAACCTGGGCAAGGTGGGCCAATGCTCCTGCTGTTGGTTTCAGTAAAGGAGATGTAAAGGAATAGCCAGGCTGAGGACGCTGTAGAGAGTGGTTTAGTGCTTTTCAGCGGGGGAGAGCACAGAGCTGGTAGGCAGGAGGTACGTTGCCTGTCCCACTCAGCGTCGGGGTTATGCTGAGCTCCTGGGGGTCGACAACAGACTTCAAGGTAAAGTTCTGCAAGATGGTGGCTACGAGTAAGAATATCTCCATTCGTGCCAAGCCCTCTCCAGGGCATATTCGCTTTCCTGAAAGTGGAAGCACAAAACAGCACTCAGTAGGTGTTTCTAAGTAGGCCAGAGTTTGTACTAAGCAGATGTGTTGCACAGCTTTATTTACTACACACAGCCACAGCAGTGAGATGACTGTCAAGATTTACTAATGACATTTTCAAGAGAAGAAACTACCCTTGGCAGTTTGGATGGGTGTATGAAGGAAGAACAGGAGTGTAGGAGAAGTCTCAGACATGGAGAGAACATCACAGGAGTCAAGATGAGAGAGAGCAAGGGGACATAAAGCACAGGTGAAAAAGTGGAAGGTTGAGGTTATTTTTAGGTGAGTGGTGGCATGTAGAGGTGCTGGGAAAAAGCGGAGCTACCACTTAAAGAAGGTTGTTTCAGGATGACTTTGGTGGTTGTATAGGAAGGTGACAGGCATTTTAGAAAGTGTCAGTGGATCCCATTCACATCATTACATTGGCAACTCCTAGTAGGAAATTTGGGAAGCCTTCAGGCCTGAACAAGGTGGGACATGCCACTGGAGATGGGAGCAGCAGGGAAGAGTTATCCAGAGAGCAGCAAGCCCCAAGGAAGCACCAGTGGGACCATGTTGAGAAGAGGCAGTGTGTGTTACAGGGAAAGGCAGGGTAGTCACCAGAGGAGAAGGCTGACAGACAGAGAAAAAGAGAAAGCCTGTGCTTTACCTGCTGAGAAGGGCATGAAGAAGTTGCTCTTCTTAAAGGTGCCATTCTTGTTCAAGAAATGTTCAGGGTTGAACTCATATGGATTTGCAAACTCTTTACTGTCATGGAGGACAGAACTGAGGACAGGATAAATTGTGGTTCCCTGAAGTAACACAAGAAGAGCAGAACGTGAAGGGGAGGTAACTTAGATCACTCAATTTGACTGCCTGCCAAGTTAAAACTGAGATTCCCAGTATAGCCCTACCAGTGCCTTTGGTTTCCCTTTGGGGACCCTTCTTTTGGGGAGGCAGCGTTAGGGAGACCCTAGTGGATGTCTCAGCAGTGACAATTGTTGGCTGCTCTTCCTTAATGCTCCCTTTCACCTCCAGAACATTTATCCTCACCTTGCTCTGGTCATCAGGGGACATCAGAGCTAATTCTTCCTCTTTCTTAGTGTTTCACAATAATGAACTTGTAGGTGCACCATGTCCCTTCTTTTCTGTGAGCCTCAAAAAGCGAAAGCACACAGGGTTGTGGAAATGAAGCTCACTTCCCCTCCCCTGACAGATTTCTCCTGCCACAATCCTCTTCCTGACCAGACATTGATGGGGGCTGGATTAATTGCCAGTGATGACAGAAGAGCTCTTTGCCAGAAGTTGAGCAGTTCCCTGGATCCTGCCTTATGATTATATACAGACAGCTGGAAATCACAATGCCAACAGCACATGTGCTGCTGTTTACAGTCACCCAGAAGAGCAGCGAGTTGCTGCAGTGGGTCAGGCCAAGCCATGGGCTGCTGTAACCCACCAGCCTGCCTTTGGCAGTGGCCAGCAGAGAAGGCCTCAGGAAGTATGTGAGAACAGAGCAAACAGGTTTTGCTTGTTCCATTGAATGGAAACATACCCTCCAGCACTTTGTGGCTCAGGGGCTTTCTGTGCTCAATAACCAGCAACTGACTTTGCTTCCAAGCATGTGCATAGGCTATCCTGGGTGGTGGTGAGCAGCTCCATGACTTTGCTGCTCCGGGTTTTTGTGAACCCACTGTGCTTCCATAGATAGGTAAAGCAAGGGAACAAATGTGTTGGTCAGCGCTACTGTTTTAGTCTTGGCCTATGGAGCGTCAACAAGGGAGCGCAAATGAGCTACAGAAGCCTGAGGATAAAACCTTCAAGATGGTCTGGGTGAAAACAAGGTCAAGCCACAACAGTTCTGGCTTCTGGCTGTAACAGCCTAAGGGCAAATATGCTGCCACCTCGTGTTGAACTTAAGGGAGCTGGCCCACTAACCTTAGGAATGATGTACTCTCTGAAGCAGGTGTCTTTGGTCACAGTGTGAGGGAGAGCCAGGGGGACAAGAGAGATGAAGCGCTGGATTTCATGGACCACCGCATCTGTGTAGGGCATCTGGTTCCGGTCAGCCACACACGGTTTTCTTGATCGTCCTATTACCTGGTCAATCTCTTCTTGAACTTTCTCTATCATGAGAGGCACAAACCATAAAATGGGTAAATATAACCAAACCTACATAAATAGGTTGCCCTAAGCTGTTTACAAATCACAGATGGCAGGGGCACTGATGTTGGTTTTGGTGTTCACTAGAACACAGTTCCACTGCTGCCCATGCAAAGAAAGTTTTCCTATTGACTTGGCTAAACAGGAGTACTGGGAGATAAAGGTGTGGACACAGTCAGATGCCAGGCTGTGAAGGGACTGGAGCTGATGATGATGTCAGTGGAGCTGAGGGGCCTCCATTGGCCACCATGAGGAATGACAGTGCAAGGCTTTTGTCCATTTGGGTAAAATATGAGAGAGAGAGA